TTGTAAGGCCCTCCCAGAAATCCGACATAAGCAGCCTTTCGTGACAATAACGGGGCCAAAGATCTCCTCGGCACAGGCGCTCAAGGTTGCGACTGGTGCAGGCCAGTCCTGCGATTGTTCTTGCAGGCAATTTCGTCGCATGGATGATTCTGTAAAGAACCTCTGGAGGTAGGACTTCCATTTCAGAACGGTGATAGCGGGTGTCCGAGAATCACGGATATCGCAGCAAATCTTACAGATCACTATGGGTATCTAACTTAGAGTGAGCGCAGAGCTTCTACTTCATCTCGAACGAGGGTATTTTCCTAAAGTTCGGCGATTAGTTAATTCCCTATTTTTCTTCTTATTCTGGATATGTCGTCCGTCGCTTCCCGCGTTCACTCGTCACAAACTCAGACCTCGTCTTCAGAACTCTCCTGAATCTAGTGATCTAGTTTAACCCCGGTTTAGCACGAAGCAAGTATGTCTGACAACAGAAGGAAGCACGTAGCACCACGTGAAACAGCACAGCAGCATGACGTTACGTCAAGCGACGTGACAACACGAAGCACCGTTACACATCATTCCAATCCGCCATAGCCCAGACAAGCTTGGGCTTGTTTCACAGAAGGTCGTAAGCGGGCCCACAAGCAGCGCATACTGACAGACCCCCAGGCACAGCAACATACACCACTTCCCTCCCACCCGACGAAGGGTTGATCTGGGTGGGAGTTTTTTTCCGCACGATCGCCTTTTCCGTGACTTGTCCTCAAAGTGCTGCTGAAGCAACTTGGATCTATCCCTCCCTTGGCACGATTTGAAAGGTGCCCAATGGATTCGTGCAAAATGCAACATGCGGCTCGAAAATGGGGTTGCACGCTCGTTTCGTCGAGTATATGTGGTAACCTGTTTTCCCCCTTTTGGAATTCAACAAAAATTCGTCAGCGTTCCGTGACAGGCTTCGTCTATAGACGACAAGTTTCGCGAACACACCGGCTAGGTAAGTGCGGCAGGTGAGATGTCACTTCACTCAGCTAGTGGCTGAACGACGTTCACACCAGGGCCTGAATCAAAACGTGCAAATTTGTCCAGGCAGCGAAAACGTTCCTGCCACCATCACCACCACCACAGGCCACCAGCAGCCCACAGGTGTAAAGAAGTACACTGAATAATAGATTCGTTTACAAAAGAGATCGGTGAATATACTTATTAAAACCGTCTTGATTTCACGAATGATCCCTTTTAGAGAAAATCTGCTTGATACGTGGTATTTTTCTGAGTGTAATTTCAGTGGAAGCAAGATTGTATTATTATAAGGTTGTCTCTATCTGAGTTGTCAGGGAACCAATAAGTTTTATTTTCACATGTAGATGTACTTGTATGACAACTTCAAAATGACGGCTGTCACCCAAGCACAGCTCCCCTTTATTGCGTCATTTATTGCGTCATTTATTGCGTCAGTGTACAATACCTACTTGGTTCTCGCATTTGGTTCTGTGCTTCCCCTTGTAGAACACCCTTTCTCAGCATGTGGCTTTGGTCCACAACACGATGTAGCCCACTGGGAGAGCCAAGGACAGTAGCATGCAGAGGAGATTACACCGCATGATGAGAAACCTCTGCATGCGGTGATCCGTCACGCGCATGCGTCTGAAAGACCCTCTCCGTTTCTCGCGCTGCCAGATTGAAATCCACCGCAGAGGGCAAGCGCCAGCGACGCCAGATTGGGATGACGGGCACCGATCAAAAGCACCCCTCAACCCAAGTCAGCCCCTCCGTACCCCGAGTCGCGAAATATAATATTCAGCAAATCCACACGAGCAATTTCCCCGAGCCTAATTCCTCTCGCCGAATTCCACCTCTCTTTTGAAGCCTCTAACAGAGTGCAGTCAGTGTCTGACATTGGTTCTTGTGAGTACTCTCAGTCCTCACACTCTTGCACGGCTTTGTCAGAACCGAGCGTTACGGTTGCATTGTTTGGTTAGAGCAAATGCGAGTTTCCAGCCTCTCCGCCATGGTGATGCTGCGGCGAATCTTCAATTTCATCCCTGTTTTTTTCTTCGTTCTAACTGTGCTTTCATCTTGCGGTGTAGCATGGGCGGCGGCGTCGTGCAAGAGCTCTTCGCGAACGGGATTCGCCAGCTCCGTCGACCTCTCGGGTAACTGGTAGGTGGCGAAATCCTTTGTGAAAGCTGATTTCTTTCTGTTCCGGCCCTTCAACTTGTCCCCGAATCCCGGTTGTGCTTCAACAAAAAATGTATTAATAGTACTACCAGCAGTGTTGATGATCAACGCTCAGTTTCCCCGACTCCACTACTACTTTTCCGTTTCCCGAGTGGCAGCACCGCCAACAACACCACCAACAGCACCACCAACAGCAGCACGACCACCCAGCATCATGGGGGAGGAGTTGAAAGGGGAAAAAGAGGAGGTGAATCCTTCTCTTTCAGGGGATCTCCCTCTGGACCGTTGGCATGCCAGGCTTCATCCCTCTCGGGTTACAAGCACTCTGTGACTATAACGAAAGGGTTCCTCCTCCACTGGACGCTCGTTAATGGCACGTCAACCACCACCAACCGCACCAGCAGCAGCAGCAGCACCCCCAGCAGCAGCAGTGACCTTAACAGCAGTGCTAGTAAGGGGGGAAGGGCGAAGCTTCGCCTGGCGTTAGAGGCACAGCAGGGCAGCGGGGCTGAGAGCGGTTGGATCTCCATCGGCTGGTCAACCGACGGTCGGATGGTGCCCGCTGATGCTGTCATCGGGAACCTTCCAGGAAGGAAGGTCGCTGCGTACGCCATGACTGGTTACCGGATATCGGATGTTAAGGTTACCAGAAACTTTTCGGTCACTGAAGCGAGTACTGAGTCCGCTAGTAATGGAGCGACTATTGTGAAGTTCACCCGAACGGAAGGGGGTGGGGGAATAGTCCCTGTGAGATTTTCTGGGGTAAACACCCTCGTGTGGGCGTTTTCGGGATCTGGCACGCATGCACTGGACTACCACAAACATAACGAGTGAGTCCAAACATTGGTACACATCTGCTGGTTACCACACGGTTACACAGACATGACCACAACAACGTTTCAACCTTCCCACCTTTCAACCTTCCCACCTTCCCACCTTCCCACCTTTCAACCTTCTTACGTTTCAACCTTCCCACCTTTCAACCTTCCCACCTTCCCACGTTTCAACCTTTCAACCTTCTTACGTTTCAACCTTCCCACCTTTCAACCTTCCCACCTTCCCACGTTTCAACCTTCCCACCTTTCAACCTTCCCACCTTTCAACCTTCCCACCTTCCCACCTTCCCACCTTCCCACCTTCCCACCTTCCCACCTTCCCACCTTTCCACCTTCCCATTTCAATCAACCTTCCCACCTTTCAACCTTCCCACCTTTCAACCTTCCCACCTTTCCACCTTCCCACCTTCCCACCTTCCCACCTTTCAACCTTCCCACCTTTCAACCTTCCCACCTTTCCACCTTCCCACCTTCCCACCTTCCCACCTTCCCACCTTTCCACCTTCCCATTTCAACCTTCCCACCTTTCAACCTTCCCACCTTCCCACCTTCCCACCTTTCAACCTTCCCACCTTTCAACCTTCCCACCTTCCCACCTTCCCACCTTCCCACCTTTCAACCTTCCCACCTTCCCACCTTTCAACCTTCCCACCTTCCCACCTTTCAACCTTCCCACCTTTCAACCTTCCCACCTTTCAACCTTCCCACCTTTTCACCTTCCCACCTTTCAACCTTCCCACCTTTCAACCTTCCCACCTTTTCACCTTCCCACCTTTCAACCTTCCCACCTTTCAACCTTCCCACCTTTTCACCTTCCCACCTTTCAACCTTCCCACCTTTCAACCTTCCCACCTTTTCACCTCAACAATGTTTCAAACGGCTCCACTCGCTCGCACCCTCCCTCCCTCCCCTTGGCCTGTCATCACTCACTCCATGCCTCTCCCTTATTGTCACCCCCGTTATTGTCACATGTGCTCAGCGGAGCACTGAAGGTGGATTTTACCTGCTCCACTGCTGCTGCTGGCAACACCTCTTCATCACCACATAGCACGAACAGCCAATCACCGGCTGCCACGTCAGCAACAGCATCGAACAGCGGCAGCAGCAGCAGCAGCAGCAACAGCAGCAGTGCGTGCACGGCGTCGTCCCTGTCCGGATATGATTGCATGGTGCAAGTGCAACTCAGTGGCGACAAGTGAGTGTGGGGCAGATGTGTGAGTGTGTGAGTGAGTGAGTGAGTGAGTGAGTGAGTGAGTGAGTGAGTGAGTGAGTGAGTGATTGAATGATTGAGTGAGTGGCATGCAAGTGCGTGGCGTCGTGAGTGGCGTCGTCCCTGTCCGGATATGATTGCACAGTGCATCTCAGTGGCAACAAGTGAGTGCTCAGGACCATGTGGAGCGAGTGAGTGAGTGGTCTGAGTGATGAGACATCTCAATAGCAGCAGTGCGTGCAATTGAGTGGCGTCGTCCCTGTCTGGATATGATTGTATAGTGCATCTCAGTGGCAACAAGTGAGTGCTCAGGGCTATGTGGAGAGAGTGCAGCTCTTGAGTCAGGGTGACTTTTGAGTCGACTAAAAAGGCAAAAGTCACCTTTTGAGTTGACTCAAAACTCAAAAGTCACCTTTTGAGTCGACTAAAAAGGCAAAAGTCACCTTTTGAGTCGACTCAAAAGTCAAAAGTCACCTTTTGTGTCGACTCAAAAGCCAACTCAGTGGCGGCAAGTGAGTGCTCAGGGCCGTGTGGAGCGAGTGCAGCTCTTGAGTCAGGGCGATGTGGCATGGGGGGGAGGAAGGATGCATGGTGCATGGAGCACGGGGCTTGGGGCATGGAGCATAGGGCGTGGAGCATGGGGTTAGGAGCATGGGGTTAGGTGCATGGGGTTAGGAGCATGGGGTTAGGAGCATGGGGCATTGAGCATGGGGCATTGAGCATGGGGCATTGAGCATGGGGCATTGAGCATGGGGCATTGAGCATGGGTCATTGAGCATGGGGCATAAAGCATGGAGCATAGAGCATGGGGCATACAGAATGGGGCATTGATCATGGGGAATACGGAATGGGTTAAGAGCATGGGGCATGAGCATGGGGCATGGAGCATGGGGCATTCAGCCAACAGACGCCATTTCAGTCATTCTCCCCCTTCGTCCCCGTTCCTCATTCCTTCAGATTCATCCTGCACTGGAAGACCAGCGCCACCAGCAGCAGCAGCAGCAGCAGCAGCAGCAGCAGCAGCAGCAGCAGCAGCAGCAGCAGCAGCAGCAGCAGCAGCAGCAGCAGCAGCAGCATTGGGTGTGTCCCTAGGGTGGTTCTCAATCACACGTGCTCTCCCATCCTCCCTCCCCTCATCCCCTCAGCTTCATCCTGCACTGGAAGACCAGCAGCAGCAGCAGCAGCATGGCTCTGGCAGCAGAGGCAGCACCAAGCCGGTGGGTGTGTCGCTAGGCTGGTACCCAATCACGCATACTTCCCTACCCTCCCTACCCCCATCCCCTCAGCTTCATTCTACACTGGAAAACCAGCAGCAGCAGCACCATTGCACTGGCAGCAGTGGCAGCAACGAGCGGGTGGGTGTCTCTAGGCTGGTCAGCCAATGGTCATATGTACCCCGCTGGTCAGCCACTGGCCGCATGTACCCCGCTGATGCAGCCATCGGCAGCTGTGGGGGCAGCTGTGGGGGCAGCTGTGGGGGCAGCTGTGGGAGCAGCTGTGGGAGCAGCTGTGGGGGCATACCACACGAGGGGGTGGGTGTCTCTAGGCTGGTCAGCCAATGGTCGAATGTACCCCGCTGATGCAGCCATCGGCAACTGTGGGAGCAGCTGTGGGGGCATACCACACGAGGGGGTGGGTGTCTCTAGGCTGGTCAGCCAATGGTCGAATGTACCCCGCTGATGCAGCCATCGGCAACCTAACCCCCCGGCGCACTCTCTACTGGTGCTGCAGCAGGCGTGGGGGCATACTCAGTCACACATACTCCCCAATCCTCCCCTCCCCCCATCCCTCCCTACAGCTTCATCCTACACTGGAAGACCAGCAGCAGCAACACCAGCAGCAGCAGCCGCATCTCTCTAGCAGCAGAGGCAGCAACAAGCGGTTGGGTCTCCATAGGCTGGTCAGCCAGTGGTCGAATGTATCCCGCTGATGCAGCCATTGGCAACCTACCCCCAGGACCCCTTTCCCCTGGGGCAGCTGTGGGGGAATACCACATGAGTGGGTATGCTGTCAGTGATGTTACGCCCACGGGCTCGTTTGCGGTTACCAACACGGCCGTGGAATCGGCCAATGGGAGGACGACGATCAAGTTTGAGCGGTCCATGGGCGATGGAGAGTTCCCCATGAGTTCCGGTGGGAGTGATGGTGGTGGTGCCTGGCAGCGGCAGCAGCAGCAGCAGCAGCAGCAGCAGCAGCAGCAGCGGCGGCGGCGGCGGCGGCGGCGGCAGCAGCAGCACCGTCCTTTGGGCTTACTCCCGGGATAACTCGCAGCGGTTAGCTTACCACAGGCCCAATGCGTGAGTCGCCTCCAGAGCTGCTTCAAAGCTGCCCATGCATCATGTGTCCATTCTCCGGTCACACTCTCATGCTGAATCCGCTTTTGAGAAATCTAAAATAAGATAACTCGCAACGGTTAGCCGACCACGGGCCCAATGCGTGAGTCGCCTCCAGAGCTGCTTGTGCATCATGTGTCCATTCTCCGGTCACACTCTCATGCTGAATCCGCTTTTGAGAAATCTAAAATAAGATAACTCGCAACGGTTAGCCGACCACGGGCCCAATGCGTGAGTCGCCTCCAGAGCTGCTTGTGCATCATGTGTCCATTCTCCGGTCACACTCTCATGCTGAATCCGCTTTTGAGAAATCTAAAATAAGATAACTCGCAACGGTTAGCCGACCACGGGCCCAATGCGTGAGTCGCCTCCAGAGCTGCTTGTGCATCATGTGTCCATTCTCCGGTCACACTCTCATGCTGAATCCGCTTTTGAGAAATCTAAAATAAGATAACTCGCAACGGTGTCCATTCCCATGCCGCATGGGTTCACATGCCTCATTCACATGCCTCATTCCCATGCCGCATGGGTTCACATGCCTCATTCCCATGCCTCATTCCCATGCCGCATGGGTTCACATGCCTCATTCCCATGCCGCATGGGTTCACATGCCTCATTCCCATGCCGCATGGGTTCACATGCCTCATTCCCATGCCGCATGGGTTCACATGCCTCATTCCCATGCCGCATGGGTTCACATGCCTCATTCCCATGCCGCATGGGTTCACATGCCTCATTCCCATGCCGCATGGGTTCACATGCCTCATTCCCATGCCGCATGGGTTCACATGCCTCATTCCCATGCCGCATGGGTTCACATGCCTCATTCCCATGCCGCATGGGTTCACATGCCTCATTCCCATGCCGCATGGGTTCACATGCCTCATTCCCATGCCTCATTCCCATGCCGCATGGGTTCACATGCCTCATTCCCAAGCCGCATGGGTTCACATGCCTCATTCCCATGCCGCATGGGTTCACATGCCTCATTCCCATGCCGCATGGGTTCACATGCCTCATTCCCATGCCGCATGGGTTCACATGCCTCATTCCCATGCCGCATGGGTTCACATGCCTCATTCCCATGCCGCATGGGTTCACATGCCTCATTCCCATGCCTCATTCCCATGCCGCATGGGTTCACATGCCTCATTCCCATGCCGCATGGGTTCACATGCCTCATTCCCATGCCGCATGGGTTCACATGCCTCATTCCCATGCCGCATGGGTTCACATGCCTCATTCCCATGCTGCATGGGTTCACATGCCTCATTCCCATGCCGCATGGGTTCACATGCCTCATTCCCATGCCGCATGGGTTCACATGCCTCATTCCCATGCCGCATGGGTTCACATGCCTCATTCCCATGCCGCATGGGTTCACATGCCTCATTCCCATGCCTCATTCCCATGCCTCATTCCCATGCCGCATGGGTTCACATGCCTCATTCCCATGCCGCATGGGTTCACATGCCTCATTCCCATGCCGCATGGGTTCACATGCCTCATTCCCATGCCGCATGGGTTCACATGCCTCATTCCCATGCCTCATTCCCATGCCGCATGGGTTCACATGCCTCATTCCCATGCCGCATGGGTTCACATGCCTCATTCCCATGCCTCATTCCCATGCCGCATGGGTTCACATGCCTCATTCCCATGCCTCATTCCCATGCCGCATGGGTTCACATGCCTCATTCCCATGCCTCATTCCCATGCCGCATGGGTTCACATGCCTCATTCCCATGCCTCATTCCCATGCCGCATGGGTTCACATGCCTCATTCCCATGCCTCATTCCCATGCCGCATGGGTTCACATGCCTCATTCCCATGCCTCATTCCCATGCCGCATGGGTTCACATGCCTCATTCCCATGCCTCATTCCCATGCCGCATGGGTTCACATGCCTCATTCCCATGCCTCATTCCCATGCCGCATGGGTTCACATGCCTCATTCCCATGCCTCATTCCCATGCCGCATGGGTTCACATGCCTCATTCCCATGCCTCATTCCCATGCCGCATGGGTTCACATGCCTCATTCCCATGCCTCATTCCCATGCCGCATGGGTTCACATGCCTCATTCCCATGCCTCATTCCCATGCCTCATTCCCATGCCGCATGGGTTCACATGCCTCATTCCCATGCCTCATTCCCATGCCGCATGGGTTCACATGCCTCATTCCCATGCCTCATTCCCATGCCGCATGGGTTCACATGCCTCATTCCCATGCCTCATTCCCATGCCGCATGGGTTCACATGCCTCATTCCCATGCCTCATTCCCATGCCGCATGGGTTCACATGCCTCATTCCCATGCCTCATTCCCATGCCGCATGGGTTCACATGCCTCATTCCCATGCCTCATTCCCATGCCGCATGGGTTCACATGCCTCATTCCCATGCCTCATTCCCATGCCGCATGGGTTCACATGCCTCATTCCCATGCCTCATTCCCATGCCGCATGGGTTCACATGCCTCATTCCCATGCCTCATTCCCATGCCGCATGGGTTCACATGCCTCATTCCCATGCCTCATTCCCATGCCGCATGGGTTCACATGCCTCATTCCCATGCCTCATTCCCATGCCGCATGGGTTCACATGCCTCATTCCCATGCCTCATTCCCATGCCGCATGGGTTCACATGCCTCATTCCCATGCCTCATTCCCATGCCGCATGGGTTCACATGCCTCATTCCCATGCCTCATTCCCATGCCGCATGGGTTCACATGCCTCATTCCCATGCCTCATTCCCATGCCGCATGGGTTCACATGCCTCATTCCCATGCCTCATTCCCATGCCGCATGGGTTCACATGCCTCATTCCCATGCCTCATTCCCATGCCGCATGGGTTCACATGCCTCATTCCCATGCCTCATTCCCATGCCGCATGGGTTCACATGCCTCATTCCCATGCCTCATTCCCATGCCGCATGGGTTCACATGCCTCATTCCCATGCCTCATTCCCATGCCGCATGGGTTCACATGCCTCATTCCCATGCCTCATTCCCATGCCTCATTCCCATGCCGCATGGGTTCACATGCCTCATTCCCATGCCTCATTCCCATGCCGCATGGGTTCACATGCCTCATTCCCATGCCTCATTCCCATGCCGCATGGGTTCACATGCCTCATTCCCATGCCTCATTCCCATGCCGCATGGGTTCACATGCCTCATTCCCATGCCTCATTCCCATGCCGCATGGGTTCACATGCCTCATTCCCATGCCTCATTCCCATGCCGCATGGGTTCACATGCCTCATTCCCATGCCTCATTCCCATGCCGCATGGGTTCACATGCCTCATTCCCATGCCTCATTCCCATGCCGCATGGGTTCACATGCCTCATTCCCATGCCTCACTCCCATGCCGCATGGGTTCACATGCCTCATTCACATGCCTCATTCCCATGCCGCATGGGTTCACATGCCTCATTCCCATGCCTCATTCCCATGCCGCATGGGTTCACATGCCTCATTCACATGCCTCATTCCCATGCCGCATGGGTTCACATGCCTCATTCACATGCCTCATTCCCATGCCGCATGGGTTCACATGCCTCATTCACATGCCTCATTCCCATGCCGCATGGGTTCACATGCCTCATTCACATGCCTCATTCCCATGCCGCATGGGTTCACATGCCTCATTCACATGCCTCATTCCCATGCCGCATGGGTTCACATGCCTCATTCACATGCCTCATTCCCATGCCGCATGGGTTCACATGCCTCATTCACATGCCTCATTCCCATGCCGCATGGGTTCACATGCCTCATTCACATGCCTCATTCCCATGCCGCATGGGTTCACATGCCTCATTCACATGCCTCATTCCCATGCCTCATTCCCATGCCTCATTCCCATGCCTCATTCCCATGCCTCATTCCCATGCCTCATTCCCATGCCTCATTCCCATGCCTCGTTCCCATGCCTCATTCCCATGCCTCATTCCCATGCCTCATTCCCATGCCTCATTCCCATGCCTCCCTCCATCCCTTCCATCCCTCCCTCCCTCCCCCCCTCCCTCCCTCTATCCCTCCCCCATCCCCGTTATCAGAGGCTCTGCTAGAGTCAGCTTCCTCATAGGAGCATCAGAGGTGGGCGAGTCGAGCAGTGGGCACGCTACGCTCTACACCATCCATGCATGGCTGCTCGCACTGGCCTTTGGCGTGCTCATGCCTCCCTCCCTCCCTCCCTCCCTCCCTCCCTCCCTCCCTCCCTCCCTCCTCCCTCCCTCCCTCCCTCCCTCCCTCCCTCCCTCCCTCCCTCCCTCCCTCCCTCCCTCCCTCCCTCCCTCCCTCCCTCCCTCCCTCCCTCCCTCCCTCCCCCATCCCCGTTATCAGAGGCTCTGCTAGAGTCAACTTCCTCATAGGAGCATCAGAGGTGGGAGAGTCGAGCAGTGGGCACGCTACGCTCTACACCATCCATGCATGGCTGCTCGCACTGGCCTTTGGCGTGCTCATGCCTTCCGCCATCCTTATATCGAGGCTCTCCTTAGCAAATAAGCCCTTGCTCATGCCTGATAACACCCCCGGCGTGGAAAGTAACACCGCTGCAAGCAACAGCTCCGCAGAAGCGACAGCCACGGGAACAGCGGGGGCAGCGTGGGGGGAGAGGGAGGAGCCAAAGCTTGGCGGGAGGCACAGTGGGGCACTGGCAGCAGAGGGGGGAGGCAAACCTCCCGGTTGCTTGGCGTCAGTAGCCGCGCCGGCCGTCTCGTCTGCCTCTCTTGCCAAGCCACCAGCGGCATCAAGCGAGGCAACAACAGGAGCAGAAACTGCGGGGCCCGGGGGACCGGGGGGGATAGGTGTAGCCAGTCCAGCAGGGGGGTCAGGAGAAGCAGGGGGGTCAGGCGGAGCAGAGGGGTCAGGCGGAGCCGGGGGGTCAGACGGAGCAGGGAGGGTAGTCCGAAGGAAGTGGTGGGTGAGCAAGCCATTGGTCTTTAAGCTGCACAGGTGGCTCGTTCTGTTGGCTGTCACCCTCGCCCTCACTGGAATCATCATGGCATTTGTTGAAAAAGGGTCGCGATCATTGCAGTCCACGCACGGACGGCTCGGATTGGTCGTCATGGTGCTCATCGTCGCGCAGCTAATTGTGGCTCAGGTCAAGCCGCTCCAGAAGCATCTCAGCCGTCGATCCTGGTTTGCCCTGCATTGGGTGGTTGGGATCGTCATGGTGGCCATCGCGTGGGCAGACATGTACCTAGGGTTTGATCTTGCTGCCTCCAAGTTTGGTTATAACCTCAATGTAAGCTTGCCGGCTTCTTTTTTTGCTTTTTGTTTTTTGTTTTTATTTTACCAAGCTGAGCCTGCAACCTTTGGTCTTCCACTCATGCCTTAGTTCAGATTTCGTATAGCCAGGTTGCCAGCAGCTCACCTCATGCCTTCCCTCCCTCTCCCATGCCTTCCTACCACTTGTCCCTCTTCCACAGTGGTCCTACATTGCCTTCTCCATTGTGATTGGACTGTTCTCTGTGGTGTACATCTTTGATTTCGTGTTGGACCAAGTAGGTTTCTGCTGCCTGCATTTCAAGAATGATGAGCCACACATCCCAACAAAAACAGCTGAAATTTTGTAGCCTTTGGGTGGGATTTTGTGCTGTATACTGTGAGGATGAGATGAGAGGATACAATGTGTTCGATTTAGGTTCTGCAATCCAGCGTATGGTGCATGTGTGGGAATATACCACAGTGGGTTTTTGGTCCTGAAGCGTAGACGCACAGTGCAAAACACATCGACGGCGACAGGTGGCAATGGGTTTAAAAACGGACGAGGCATGGACAGGATTTTACGCATTGATTTACAACCATTTGAGAAAGAGGTTTTAACAAACACTAGAGGTGCGGCGTAAGGAAATGTTTAATATTTGTTTACAGTATTTCAAGAAGGTTTGTCGATTTAACTGTTTGAGGTCCATAGCATGTAGATAGGGGGGAAGTACTGTCTGTGTAGCAACTTTCATGATGTTGTCACTCGATTGAAGCACAGCTGCCCTTTATTGCATCAATGTCGAGGGCCCCACGCCCACTCCCTCCATGTCACGGGACAACTGCTGACCGTCCGTCCATATGAAGTTGCTTCGGGCATGATGTGCGTGAGGGTACTTTTAACGTATGGCCTTTGTAGACTCGATATTCTAGAAGTTGGTCGCGACTGTTCCCTACTTTCAAGGGTGCTGATGTCCTGATTGTACCATCAGCTTTTGAGCCTTTGCGGTTTCTGATTCTGGGCAGTAAAAGATGGTGTGCCATAGAAGTTTAGAACAGAACAGAAGCCTTGCTTCACTTGTGAAAATATTCAGTTGTTCTTCGACACTCTTCGTCGCATGATGCTCTGCTTCCAGTTGTAGAAAAACTGTGTAGAAACAGGTGTGCCATGCCATGATCCATCCCCCATCCCTCCAACCATGCTTTTGCCATGCTGGGCAGCCCGCCGCAACCATCCGTCCCCATGGTCTGTACTGTACTGGATGCTGCACCATCAACCTTCCGCCATGCACTCCCCCCATGTCAGTTGGGATAGCAGAGATGGAACTAACTCTTGCAAAAAATGTACGAAACTTCTGTTTTGGTGTCCACCATACCATGCATTCATGGACCAACCATACTTTTCGCTAATCAGCCATGCCATAGTTCTGGATACCTAATATGCTGCTACCCCTTCTGGGCCCCATCTCGATCGACGATTAGCTTCTTAGCTTGAGAGCAAATTCCGAGAATCTGAACCATGAATGGAAGGTTTCTCGCTGGCTATTCCTCTGCTCCAGCATCTCCTCAACTCGTCAGAAACACCCCATCTCCTTCAAGCAGTGATGGCGACCATCAGTAAGCAGCTAACTAGCTTGTTCGTCTCTTCGGGATCGTTTTTTTCTGACTGTTATAAGCTTATGGTACCCTCTACTGCGGTATTGATCAAGTGCTGGCTCTTGTTTTCGCTCGTTCAGATACCTCGCGGACCTGTTGGCTGAGCGGAAAAAGCTTCTTCCCTTCAGACAAGTTTTACCGCATTGCGGTCGGTTGCTTGACCAAGGTTAGGCGAAATATTGATGTACACTGCCGTTGTAAGTTGTTACGTTCTCTGCTAACTTTAACCGTTTTCCCTTTTTCAGAAATTGCGCGTTTATCGTCGATAGTGGGTTCTCCGACTTACATGGACCATGAGCACGCCGAGACGTCCTCGCCCATATCCCATCCCATATTCTCCCCTGGACCTTCTCCGTTTGACGCGCAGACATGGTCTCCTATGCCGAACGAAGTCGGGGTACGATTATCCCTCGAACTTGTTTCTTGCTTGCGATTCATGATTGCTTTGAATTCAGCTCAACCGATTCGCTAATTCTCGAGATCCCTGTTTCTGCAGCCTTCGACGCTTTTCGCAACGCCAACAGCTCACCAACCAACAACAACGACATTGGTAGGCTGGACCCCTCAACCCGGCGCTGCCCCAATTCTAAAAAAGGCTCGCAGGATTGACGTTCCAGTGGATCAGTATCCCACCTTCAATTTTGTTGGACGAATTCTTGGGCCTCGAGGCAATTCGCTAAAGCGAGTTGAGGCCCAAACGGGTTGCCGCGTCCTTATCCGAGGCAGAGGTTCCATCAAAGACCCTACTAAGGTAGATGATATATTTCCAGGTTCCTTGTTTTCAGCTTCCCTTTTCCAGGCGAAGTCCTCATGCGGTACGCTCGTTCTTGCAGGAAGAAAAGATGCGTAACAAGCCAGGTTACGAGCACTTGAATGAGCCACTGCACGTCATTGTTGAGGCTGAACTTCCAGCAAACATTGTAGATGCTCAGCTTTCACAAGCTTGTGAAATTCTTGAGGAGCTTCTGAAGCCAGTGGTAAGTGCTGTGACCCCATTGCTCTCTGCAGCTGTTGCTTCGCATTCGTTTTCCGGGACTAACGTCTTGTTATGGTGGTACAGGATGAAGCTTGTGACATCCTCAAACGGGCACAACTGAGAGAGCTGGCTATTATCAATGGCACCCTCCGAGAAGACATGGGATCGCATAGTCTCTTTGCAGGATCCCCATCACCATTCAGTGACCCTGAATTCAGATCTTCTAAGACCCGTCGCTGAGGATCAAGTATAGCCAGCAAATTTCTTCTCTAGCTGCACGCAGGGGAACAACCTTGTTGTGCAGCTGCTGGAACTGACCGATCGTCCTGTCATTGTGGTTAGGCTGGTCAAGCACATAGCTGTTAGACACTAGCGTACACTAGGATACACTAGGAGTAGGCAGTAGTCCGTTCATGAGTTGTCTTGGTTTTTTAGGGGCTCAGAGTCTCTCTGGCCACTAAGAGACTATCTTGCAGAGGCATTTTTTGTGTCTGCTTAGTCTGTAATAGTGTCATGTAAAGTAATATTAATTGCTGAGACCACTGGCAGTATTTTTATTGTGATGTAAGAACTGGTTCATCAGGATGGCCAGAAAGCTGATGCTGGTGTGTGATGTCGCAACCAATACCGTAATTTCAGGCATGGTACAACAGGTTCAAGGCTGGTTGGTAAGTTCCTTGCTTCTTAGTGCACTCAGACGTCACAGACACTGCAAGAATGCTGAGTGCAACATTTGCAACAAATTCCTTGAAGGCCGCACTGCAAGCACAGAAACAAGAGTGGAAGGATGAGTACAGGTCGAACATGAAGTGCTTGTGTACTAGAGTGAGAGGCAGTTGCACTTACATTAAGCCTGAAAAGGTGGGCTCTGCAGAAGTACTCGGGGCAAATGGAGCACTGGATCAGGCAGTTTTCACAACCAATCTCCCCATCTCTGACAATGGCATGTCCCAGAACGTCCGCTGGAGCCCCCTCGCCATTAAGCATGGAGTACACACCACACATCATGACATGACCAGCCTTGGGACAGTGTGGACACGGAGCAACATCCAGTGTCTCAGCGAGCCTGAATTTCTCCAGCAAACGAACATGGCGGCCTTCGACATTAGTCGAACCAGACAATCGCATGGATTTTAGCACTGGGTCCGATCCTGCTTCGTGGCATGCTTTTGCCAAATGACCGACCAGTGACACCAAGGCTCCTCCTGACAGTTTCGGACACTCCAGAAGCCAAAGCTGCAATAAGAGAGCAATGCAATTAGAACAATACCACAAACGAGACAGTCTAGGCAATAGTGGCATTTGTGCTCACCTTCTCCAGTTTCTTGTTTTCCTTCATGCCGTCTGCAAGAAGAAAAGCTCCAGTCAACCGTTTTGATCCATGGATCTCGACAACTTCAAGCTCTGTTTGAGCTCTCTTTATCAACACCATGAGACGGGTGTCTGTCAGCTTTTCCGAAAGGGACCTTGGAATGGTAATCCTCTTCCACAAGTGACGGTCATGAACGACAAAGTTGTTGAGATCCTTGCAGGTGCACTGGACAGACATCAGATCCATCAAAGACAGAACTCTACATATACGATGGAGCAATGCCTCATCCAGACAAAGGATATATGCAGTTCCATCTTCAGTGGACACAGAAACTCCTGCTGCAGACGACAAGAGCGGGTTCGCTTTAACATCTGAAGAGACCAATGGCAATTCGAGTGCCATAGGTCTAATTACGGGAACTATGAGAGCGTTGTTTAAGCTTCGTGAGTAGAAATCAGGACTTCGCAGCCGAAGACTGACACTCTCGACGGATATGCGTTCGACGTACGACAAAATGCGACAGCATCGGTGTCACAGACGGACACGTACGGAAATGTGCTCGATGTAAAGACGAATTCTGCTAAGTTGGAAAAGCGACACCTCGCGGCAATTCAGCTGCTCGAAAATGCTAGTGCGTTAGAACAAATATAGAGCAGATAATGTGTTTCACGCGAGAACACTATTTCTCATGGATAGAGAGTCAAATGATTGAGGTGCGGCGAGAAATGAGTAGAGAACTTCAGCTCAAGAGAGATGTGTGTGGCGAAGAGAAGGAATGAAGAATTCCTACACCGTTCTAGAGAATTCCTAGAGAATCCCGTAACGAGCAGAACAACACGAGAAATGGAACCAACAGCAAGGCAAAACAACCAGCCAATCAGCTGGTCAGCCTACAGAATATCTCAAAACGAAAGTCGCAAAAGCATCATCTCCGTCAATCATTCGTCGAGGATGAGCTGGCTCACTCCCGCGACTTGTCGGTCAACGGCGTCGTTTGTCTCAGCGATGTTTTCGCGATGTCGGTGGAGGCAGGTTGAGGGGCTATGTGCGACGACTCTGGCGAGCATTTCTATATGAGATTTTCCAGACGGAATCTATGAGTTTGTACACAAATATTTCCCGTAAACCTATAAGCAGGTCTTTCTGTATCGCCTCATCTGTTTCACATGCGAATTCAAGTCCTGGGGAATCTGGACGAGCTGCAACATACCACCGTATACCTACGCGGGCGCCAGCCTAAGATTTTATCGTTGAATGATCTATATCCGTTCTGACGAATGATCTAATCGCAACTTTCACCTGGGATGATTGGCTTGCATTAGCCATGGCGACCGCTGCAGAAAGGGAGAGGGAGCTGCAGCGCGCTCTTGGAGAGTGCGCTTTGAGTAGGTAAGGTTGTCGGACCGTGACGACGTTTCAAGGACTGACAATGTATAGGCGACGGACAGCATATATTTTGAGAGAACTAGCCTTTGCCTTTTCTGTCCAAGTTCTGATCTCGCGTTCGGTTATTCTAGGCACAATCCTGGTTCTCCATCTATCCGTTCTTCCTCATCCAGAACTTCCCTTTGGTAACGTACAGACCATCGACCCGATCGCGAACTTCGAAAACTTTGTATCCCTAGACTCAGTCCTTATCTCCAATCCTCTTCCCTTCCCTCTCTCGTCTCTCCCGTCCCCAGCTCCTGGATTTTCACCCTCGGGGGGTGTTTAATCTCCATCCCTATAGGTATCAAGCGCAAGTCACTTGGCCCGCTGGTGTTCTACGGTACCACAGGAGCCATGGTCGACATTATTCAGGGGATCAGCCTCTGCGAGAAGGAGCGAGAAGCTCTGAAGGCATTCATGGAGGAGAAGAAAGCGAGCAAGCAAGGAGGATCGGAGGGGTCTGGTTTCAGCAGTGGTTCAGAATCAACGGAGAGAAGTGGAGTGCCACAAGATATTGCACAGACGTTGGGTGACAATGGGAGGTTAGGGTAGCTGTTCGGTGCAAGTAATGACAGGGAAGTGCGGATGGCTCTGGTAGCATCAGTAGCTCAGAATCGAAGGAGAGAAGCGGTGTCCCGCAAGACCTTGCACAGAAGCTAGGTGACAATGGGAGCTCTAGTAGTAACTCCAGGCGACAGTTCCGGGGTCCGCTGATAGCAGTAATGTCAGAGGTTTGTGGGAGAGTGGCTGTATATCGCAAGTTATAGCACAGACGGTAGGTGACAATGGGAGCTCTAGTAGTTACTCCAGGCGCCAGTTCCGGGGTCCGCTGATGCTAGCAGTAATGTTTAAGGTTTGTGGGAGAGTGGCTGTATATCGCAAGTTATAGCACAGACGGTAGGTGACAATGGGGTGAGAGCTCTAGTAGTAACTCCAGGCGCCACTTCCAGGGTCCGCTGATGCTAGCAGTAATGTTTAAGGTTTGTGGGAGAGTGGCTGTAAATTGCAAGTTATAGCACAGACGGTAGGTGACAACGGGAGCTCTAGTAGTAACTCCAGGCGCCACTTCCAGGGTCCGCTGGTACTGGTAGTGTCAGAGGTTTATGGGAGAGAGGCTGTAAATCTCAAGATGACAATGGGAGCTAGCTCCAAGTAATAGCGCAACACTCCGGTTCCAGTGTCCACCGGGTGGTGGTGTCCTCGGTTTGTGGAGGGGGAAGCTGAGTTTCGCCAGATACTGAGCAAACGCTAGGGGACATTGCACGGTCAAAGTAGGTGATTGGTACAAGCCTCAGGATCCCCGGGTGTTTTAGTGTATGACAGGCGCCACGTTGGGACACTAGTTAGGAACTAAGTACGTGACAGGCAGGCAGACGCTCTTAGAGCGTTTGTTGGAGGGGCGTGGGTGGGGAGGGAGGGGGGGAGAAAGGGTGGAGAAAGAAAGGGGAGATGGTTGACTCGTTGGATGTCTTGCCTGACTTGGTTGACTTGAATTGGTTGACTTCAGATGCGTCACTGAAGGAAGAGAGGATCAAGGTCGAGAAGGGGGCCGGGGTAGTTGGTTGGTGAGGTGCGGTAGGTGGTCAAGCCAGTGGCCCTTGGAAGGGAAGCAAGACATGGTGAAGATTCATCAGGCAACTTGTGTGTGTGTCTAAGTGAGCTGGAAGCTGCTCATAAAGCGTCTATGGATTGCGAGGAGTATGGGATTGCATGCCAGCAGAGCCGATGTTCCAGTCATGGCCTCTGGTTGAGTGTCAGGGTTGGGAGTCAGGACCTGCTTAGACTTAGGGCGAGCGCGACCCGGTTTTAGGCCTTTGCGACGCAAAAATGTGTGACGCGCCTTGGCAGGAATGTACCCTTAGCTGCTCATGACTTAGCTGCCCTTGGACATCTTGTTCTACACACAGGGTGTGACGCTGTCACCTGCCCAGGATGGTATTTTTCATGCTGTAGTCGCATCATATACACTGAAGTTCTCCTAGGTTGAGGCAACAAATCCGAAGCTGTGCTGGTGGTGTCCCAATCCAATGTGCATTTGAAATTGATTCAAACGAATTGGTGTTGTAAATAAGGTTAGCAGCAGGCAAGGGGTAGCCACTGGGTCTCAATTGTCCCAAGGTTTAGATATTGTTCAGAAGAACATGCATTATTCAAGGAGAGCAAAACAAGGATTGACAAACAAAGCACCAACACAAATAAAGAGTTGGGGGTAATTTGTAACCTAGGTAATAGGCTAATAGCATACGCAACATAGATGTATCTGTGTCCCATAACATGAGTCATTCTGTGTGGTCCCAAAATCCGTGGGGTGAATTGAGGTCCCCAAGGGCCTCCATACCAGGAAACCCAGGCTCGGCATCTTCTTGTTCTCCAAACCTGAGCAGCAGGTTTGGCGGCTTACCAGCCAGCGCGGGGAACAGGTCTGGCGGAGCCCTGGCACAATCAGCAGGCCCGGAACCGACCAGAGTCTGTTGAAGCATGGTGCTACTGGTAACCGCATTACCAGTGGTTGTAACAGCAATGTTACTGGCAGTATCAGGCGATGTATCAGGTGATGTATCAGGTGTATCTTGCACCCAGATGCCTCCTCCTTGTTCGAATGCCACAGGGGAGGTGGGAGGGAAGAGTGAAGGAGGGGTGAAAGCAGGGTTCCCTAATGATCCTGACGGTGCCGCTGCTGGTACTGTCGCTGCTGCTGCTGTGACCCCTCCTGCTGTTGCTTCTTCTGCTGCGGATGGGAATGCTGCTGCAGCTTCTTCTGCTGCTAATGTTGGGAATCCTGCTGCTGGCTCTGCTGCTTCTCCCACCAGCGAAATCCTGTCGCACGGTCGCCTCTGCCTCTTAGATAAGTGCCAGGAACCCGGATGACTAGAACCAGGAATTGTCGCAGGAGGAGCAGGAAGAGATAGAGTGGATTCAGTGTGGTGGGAAGTGGTGGGAGGGGATGGGGAGACCAGTGTGGGTGATGAACCGGGGGAGACTGAGCTCTGTAAGGATCCAAACACAAAGAAAGTAGCAGGCGTGGCGGCAGTAGCAGCAGCAGCAGGAGTAGCAGCAGCAGCAGCAGCAGCAGCAGCAGCAGCAGCAGCAGTAGCAGCAGCACCGGAAGCAGCAGCAGCGGGTTCGGAGCCAGCAGCGTCAGCAGCAGTAGCAGGATCGGCAGCAGCAGCTGCATTAGCAGCGGTGAGAGTGGCGGTGGTCGTGACAAAACTACCAGCAACGGTAGCTGCCGCAGTGGTAGCAGCAGGGTAGTTTTGCAGTGAAAAAGGCGAGCTGTGGAGCGCTGGTGCTGATTCTGACATCAATGCTGGCGCTGGCATAGCCACCACCGCTGCTTCTGCCACAACTGCTGCACCTGCAGCTGTGCCTGCTGCTGCTTGTGCTTGCGCTTGTACTTGTGCTCCTGCTGCTGCAGCGTCAACATGCGGATGTTGATGTTGTTGCTGCTGTGAGGGCTGCTGATGCAGAATTGTCATGCTTCCACATGCCTTGAGCTGACAACTGAAAGGCATAGCACCAGCCATACGCTCGTAATCGTCAGCACAAGCAGCACCAGCAGCATCAGCGTGAGCAAGCCTTTCTGTGCTTCTCCCCTCCTCCTTCTCCTTGTCACTCCTCGTCTCCCCCATGCTCGTTTCGTGATTGCTGTTTTGGAAACTCTTGGATCCCTGCTCACCCTCCTCATCTCCTCCCTTCCGTGACAATACTCTTCCATTCTCTGCCACATAGGCCGCAGCAGCCGCAGCAGCCGCAGCAGCAGGGTCATCATCACCAGCAGCAGCAGCAACAGCAGCAGCAGCGGCGGCGGCAGCAGCGGTATCAGGAGAAACAGCAGCAGTGGCAGAAGGAGCATCTCCTATTGCGATAGTAGCACACTCAGCATAGTCCCCCTTGCCCATCATTGTCCCCGCGTCTTTTCCCAACCAATCCCCCAATCCAACCCCAACCATGATTTTCTTTCCTGTTGCTGCAACTGCTGCCCGCTCATCTCCCTCCCTTGGAGACCCACCTGCCCGGTTCCAGCCTGCCCGATCACCACCTGCTTCGGCAGAAGCTGCCCGGAAAACACCTGTTTGGGAAACGCCTCCCCCAGAACTACCTGGATTGCCTGAGCTCAAGGAACGGTGCTTTGCTGCCAGCCTGGATGCCACGTCAGACAGCTGTAGCAGGGCGGAGAGGAAAAGGGAGAAACATGAGAAAAAAAGGGGGGCGAGGGGAAAGTGCGGGGTTGTAAGTGAAACAGGTATGAGGACGTGTTTGAAGTAGCCACGTGTAAAAATAGTACTTTTGAGACGTCTCAAAAGTGAAACAGGCATGGAGACGTGCTTGAAGTAGTGTTTTGAGACGTCTCAAAACACTACTTCAAACAAAGTGTGGGGTTGTAAGTGAAACAGGTATGGGGCTAGCCAGAGGGTTGCATAGGGATGGGATGAGAGAGGTGGGATGAGAGAGGGCGGGAAGCATAAAACACTTCACAGGGTCTGTTCCTGAAGGTGTGAAACTTTCGCAGATGTACAGTTTTTTTTGTTAAAAATGGCAGCTCCAAATTATGAATCTCAAAGAAGCTAATTCTCATCCAGGATCTTTCTGTCGTGGACGCTTATCAATACAGCCTAGCTTGCTTATCATCCCGCCTTACAGCTCTTATCACCCCTCACCTTGCTGGAAAGCTCCTCCTTATTATCAGGAAGCGTGTGATAATCCGTCTTAAGAAGCTCATAGTCCCCGCTCATGCCACTCGCTGACGCTAATCACAGCAGCCTACCTCGCTTATCACCGTGCTCTACACCCCTTATCATCACTTCCCGTCACCCCTTATCACCCCTCGCCTTGTTCGAGCGTGTGATAGTCCGCCCTGAGAAGCTTATAGTCCCCGCTCATGCCACTCGCTGATGCTGATGCTCGGTGGGACTCCACCGCACCACACTCCTTATCATCCCACACCACCCCCCGTATCTCACCTTGCTTGTGAGTTCCTCCTCCTTGTCCAACAGAGCGAAGTAGTCAGCTTGAAGCAGCTTGGTCCCCGCTCATGCCACTCGCGGATGCTTGCAGGCGGGAGAAGGCCGATCGGAGGGACTTTACCGCACTACACCGCTTCTCACCCCGCACTACACCCCGTATCTCACCTTGCTTGTGAGCTCTTCCTTCTTATCCAGCAGAGTGAAATAGTCAGCTTGAAGCAGCTCGTAATCCCCGCTCATGCCGCTCCACCGCACCACACTCCTTATCATCCCACACCACCCCCCGTATCTCACCTTGCTGGTTAGCTCCTCCTTCTTGTCCAACAGAGCGAAGTAGTCAGCTTGAAGCAGCTCGTAATCCCCGCTCATGCCGCTCCACCGCACCACACTCCTTATCATCCCATACCCCCCCCCGTATCTCACCTTGCTGGTTAGCTCCTCCTTCTTGTCCAATAGAGTGAAATAGTCAGCTTGGAGCAGCTCGTAGTCCCCGCTCATGCCGCTCCACCGCACCACACTCCTTATCATCCCACACCACCCCCCGTATCTCACCTTGCTGGTTAGCTCCTCCTTCTTGTCCAACAGAGCGAAGTAGTCAGCTTGAAGCAGCTCGTAATCCCCGCTCATGCCGCTCCACCGCACCACACTCCTTATCATCCCATACCCCCCCCCGTATCTCACCTTGCTGGTTAGCTCCTCCTTCTTGTCCAATAGAGTGAAATAGTCAGCTTGGAGCAGCTCGTAGTCCCCGCTCATGCCGCTCCACCGCACCACACTCCTTATCATCCCACACCACCCCCCGTATCTCACCTTGCTGGTTAGCTCCTCCTTCTTGTCCAACAGAGTGAAATAGTCAGCTTGGAGCAGCTCGTAGTCCCCGCTCATGCCACTCGCTGATGCTTGCAAGCGAGAGAAGGCCGATCGGAGGGACTCGAGCTCTGCCTGCTGCTGCCGCACTGTGTGCTGGAGGCGACGGTGGTGCAACCAGGAAGCAATCTGGAGTAGGGGAGGGGAAACAGAGAGACATAGGCACCCAAAATGCGTTGTTGTGACTGAAGAAGGGAAAAGGCCGATCGGAGGGACTCGAGCTCTGCCTGCTGCTGCTGCACTGTGCGCTGCAAGCGACGGTGGTGCAACCAGGAAGCAATCTGGAGTAGGGGAGGGGAAACAGAGAGACATAGGCACCCAAAATGCGTTGTTGTGACTGAAGAAGAGAAAAGGTGGATCGGAGGGACTCGAGCTCTGCCTGCTGCTGCCGCACTGTGTGCTGCAGGCGACGGTGGTGCAACCAGGAGGAGATCTGGAGGTGGGGAGGGGAAACAGAGAGAAATAGACACTGAAATTGCATTGCTGGAGTTGAAAACGGGAAAAGGCCGATCGGAGGGACTCGAGCTCTGCCTGCTGCTGCTGCACTTGTGACGGTGGTGCAACCAGGAGGCGATCTGGAGGAAGGGAAGAGGGGAAGGGGAGGCAAGGGGGAGAGAAACAGGCACAGGAATTGCATATTTGTGATTGAGAACGGGAGAAGGCTGATTAGAGGGACTCTCGCTCTGCCTGCACCTGCTACAGAGAGTAGAGAAAAGTTTTGACTCTAGATAGCAAGGAACAAGGCCAAGAAGAGGCATTTCAATTCAATATGTCGTTGCTTGAGTGTACCTGCTGTGGTAGCCTTGACTCATTGTTCGAAGGGCTGCAGTAATTGAAAAACGCTTAAGCAAAGGAACAACAGTGAAAAAACAAGTGTGAAAAAAGTAGATCTGGAAAACCCTTAGCTTCCGAAAAGCCTCCTTGCGTAAAGGGTTACCTTGACTCATTGTTCGAAGGCCTGCAGTAGTTGAAAAACGCTTAAGCAAAGGAACAACAGTGAAAAAAAAAGTGTGAAAAGCAGATCTGGAAAACCCTTAGCTTCCGAAAAGCCTCCTTGCGTAAAGGGTCACCTTGACTCATTGTTCGAAGGCCTGCAGTAGTTGAAAAACGCTTAAGCAAAGGAACAACAGTGAAAAAAACTAAGGTGACCCTTGGGATACCGAATATGTTGTTGCTTGAGCGTACCTGCTGCGGCAGCAGCCCGAGGCTGTTGCCGAGGCTCGCCCTCTGCTCCGGAGATGGGTTCAGGTCCGCGCCGAACCACTCCTCGAGCTTCTTGGTTTGGAAACCCGTCAGGCTCGACAGCCACAAGCCATGCTCTGAACCACTCACTATAAACTCCTCCCCGCTGCTCCCCTTTGTAGTCACACCGTTTCCTGTCACACCCGTTACAGTCACATTCGGTACAGTCACACCAGCCGATACCGTTCTCATTTCTAGCATCGCTTTTGTAGGTCCGGCATCCTTCTCCTGATCCCGATCTTTCCCTTGCCCCGAACCTCCCTCCGAACCTCCCTCCGAACCTCGCTCCGGACCTTGCTCCGAGCCTTCGCCTGACCCGAAGCTGAACACCGGGCCACCCAATGCTTCCATCCCTTCGCCTGCAGCCCCAGCAGCGGCAGCAGCCACAGCAGCGGTGGTTTCAACTGCCCTTTTCTCTGCGTCCTCATTCCCACCCTCTCCCGCGATGGTTACCACTTGCCTTAACGCCTTCCCCTCATCAGAATCACACTCCATCCCCGTTGAAACCCCTCGCTCGTTACAGTCACCATGTGCATAGTCACCCCTTTCCATATAGTCACATCCCTGCAGCACCTGCTGCTCCTGCTGCTGCATCTGCTCCTGCTGCTCTTGCTCTTGCTCCTGCTCCTGCTGCTGACCTTCTGACAGTGTAGTTGCACTGAGAGTCTCACTATCAGCTCTCAGCATAAACTCCTGCACAAATTCATCCTCCCTTCCTCCTCCTCCTCCCCCTCCTCCGCCGCCTCCCATTCCTTGCCCACGTGGCATCACCCGTTTCTCCGCAAGCGGGGGAGGGGGAGAAAACGGGGGAAGGGGGGCGAACGCGGGAGGGGGAACGAGCAGGGAAGGGGGAACGAGAAGGGATGGGGGAGCGTGGGGCCCCTTTTCTGCTATAGGAAAAGGGTTCCCAAGAGAGAGAGATGAAGCAGCAGCAGCAGCACCAGGAGGGGCAGCTGGGGGGTTTGGAGCCCCCACGAGCACGAATTTCTTTCTGCCCGGGGCAGAAATCTGGGCAGTATTTCGGGCAGGTATGTGAGTGGAGTTGTGGTGGTTCCCGCAGGGGGAAAGAAGAGGCGGGGCAGATGGCGGCGCGCAGGTGGGAGGTTGGTGGGGCGCGGGGGGACCTGCGGGGAGGGGGAGCGGGTGCGGGGAGGGGGGGGGGGGGGGGCGGTGAGCGGGTGTGGGCACAGGAAGGAGGAGAAGGGGAAGAATGCGGAGAGCAGAGGAGAGTGACGGAAGGGCATAATATGAGGAGAAAGAAGGAAAAAAGCAGGAGCAAGAGCAGGAGTGTATTACCACGGCAAGCTATTCTAAAATCAGTTATGGTTTTGAGGCGCCTCAAAGAAGGAAAAAAAGCAGGAGCAAGAGCAGCGGTGTATTACCATGGGAAGCAGGTGCAAGCTATTCTGAGATCAAGTATGGGAATTCTCAAGAAAGCAGCGGGTTTTACGATAGGTACTAGGCAGATTATTTAAATTATTCCGCAATCGTTTTTGGACTGACACAGGGGAAATAGCAGAGAGTCTTACCACAGGTAAGTGCGCGTTTGTTGGGAGGAGACTGCTCCTGTTGGTTCGGCAGACCGCTTTGGTTCGGTGAAGTCCCGAACTGGTTCGTCAATCCGTTGTCGTACGGTGAAGGCCCCAGTTGGTTCGGCAGCCCATTTTGGTGAGGTGAGACGCTGAGCTGGTTCGGCAGATTCTGGCTTGGTGAAGGTGCAAACTGGTTCGGCAAATTCCAGTTAAGCTGCTGCGGCTGCGGCTGCTGCGGCTGCTGCAGCTGCTGCTGCTGTTGTTTCCTCTGCATTCCTCTACCCGCCTGCCCCTTCTTCTGCCCGTTTTTCTTCGCTCCCTTCTCCCCGCGGCCATTTCCGCCCAATAGCGCTCCACCTAAAGTTCCGCCGCCCCTGCCCGGATCGGAATCTTGTCTGCCCATACGAAAATTTCCGAACTCGAATAACTCCGCGCTTCCGTCCCGCAGTTCCTCGGGTTTACATCCGCCAGCCGCGCTGCATCCGCCGCGAATAAATTTCTCCGCTGCCCGCGCTGCATCGCCTGTCGCATCCGCGCTCAACGCGCTCGCGCATTCCGCACCACCAGCGCCGTTCGCGGCGCAATTTCCGCCGCCGCTCGCACCTCCACGGTCTTGCAAAGCCGCGTATGCCGCGGGATCTGACGTGGTGCGCGGCGTGCGCGGAGTGCGCGCGTTGGCCTGCGCGCTGCTTGACGGAGACGGCGGAATCTCCGCCGCGCCCCCTTCGTGTTGCGCCAACGAGTCCGCGAAAAACTGTAACACCGAAGCCAGCGCAGCAGCCTGCGACGAATCGCCGTTACCAGTTTTGCCGTCCGCGCTCGGCGGAGCAGTGGCAACATGCACTCCCCCCGCTGCGCTCCTTCCGTTGATTGCCCCTCCGCCTCCCGCCCGCTGTTTCCGCGGCCTGATTTGACCTTGCGCTTGTTGCTTTTTTACATCCTGCGGCTGTAAATTCCCGCTCCTCGCGTGCGGCTGCTGCGAATTCCCACTTCCCCCGCGCTGGTGCTCTGCCAGCCGCGCGCTTTCCTCCACAATACTCTCCACGAAGTCGCGGTATTTTTCCGCCGACCACTCGCTCCCCGCGCCCCCCGCGCGGGCTTCCGCAACCGGCGGAATTCCCCCCGTATCTTCCGCGGAGAACTTCCCCGCGCCTCCAGTCAGCCTCCCATTTGCGAGAAATCCTGTTCCGGGAACCGCATCCGCTTGCATTCCCTCTCGCGCAAACATTGTGCCCGTCCCGGCGCCCGCCATTGTGTCGCCGATCTTTTCTTCGCGTCACTAAAATTCTGCTCGACTCCTCCCTCTTCTGCTCTCTTCTAATTCCCGCTATGCTGAATCGGAGTCACTTCTAAGAAATCTCAAAAGAGAAAATTGAAGGATTTAAAAAAATATCTCTCCCCCTTCACCGCTAATCTAGGACACCCCTGGTGCGCTCCCGCTACTCACGCGCCGCGCACATTGCCAATCGAGGATCCCAAGGGCTATTTTCGAACCGCCTAAAGAAGCGCACATCGCCAATTCGGCCTCTACCCGCGCTTGTGTCTCCGCGGGATCTAAGCTCCGCGCTACCCGAGCTCCGCGCTACGCGCTACTAGTGGTATGCCTCCGCGGAATTGCTTCTCCGCGCAATTGCTTCTCCGCGCAATTGCTTCTCCGCGCAATTGCTTCTCCGCGCAATTGCTTCTCCGCGCAATTGCTTCTCCACGCAATTCCCACTTGCGCAATTTTGCTTCCGCGTGCTTTCTCGCTCGTTTTGGTCGGCGCAGTTTTGACCTAACCGGGAATGCGAGCGGTGAAAAAGCTATGGATACCGCTTACGATATTTTTTCGGACGCGCTTTGTGAACGTCCGCCGGTCTAGGAAAGCGGAAAATCCAGAAACCCACTCAACGGCTGCGACGCAAAAGCGGTGCTGCGATGCGATGCGAGGCGGAAGTGAAGCTTTGCCTATCTGTCTCATACGTCTCACGATCTCTGTTCTTGTGATGCTCTGATGTCTCATCTGGTTTTCTTTTCAACTCCACCTGAAAATATACCCACGACGACGGTCAACAGGTTTCGGCGAGTGTTGCTGCTGCAGGCCTGCAAGCAGGCCAGAGGAACGAGCGGGGGAGGAGAGGGAGGAGGGGGCGGCAGGAAGCTGATGAGAGGAGGGCGCTTCTTGACAGGGGCGCGCGGGCGGAACGGAAAGTGGGGAGGGGAGTGGCACTGGTGTGCTGTACATGCGGCAGAGAGTGACGGAGGGGGCGGGCGGAACGGAAAGTGGGGAGGGGGGTGGGTGCTGTACAAGACATGGAGGGGTAGTGCTGGGTTATTATGCGGCAGAGAGTGACGGAGGTGGGTGGCAGGGTGGGGGGAGGGAGGATGGGGCGCTCGCATGCGAGGCGGATGCAAATGAAAGCTGCTGTGCTGACCCGACAAATGAATTGTGCTGTGCTGGCGGATGGGGGAGGAAGGGGAGCGGGGTTGGGGGAAGTTCGGGAGGGAGTTTGCGGGGGAAGCATGGGGAGAGGGGAGGGGTTGAAGAAGTCGGGGGGAGAGAGGAGAGCGGAGGGGAGGGGGAGGAAAAAATGGATGGGGGAAAAGATTTGGAAGACGAGGGGGGAAGAGATGGGGGGGGGGGGGGGGGGGGGGGGGGGAGTCAAAGCCCAGGCCCAGCAGACTGTCGGGCAAAGGGGAGTTCTGCTCTGCTCTGCTCTGCAGTGAACGTGGTCACGCATGAGTGGTCTGGGCACGCATGACGTCAGGGGCGCGCACACTGTAGACTAGAGTGCTGTGCCCCGGAACAGCGACTCGGCTTGGTGTACAAGCGAGCAAGCGAAGATGAGCGAAGTAGAAAATGCTGTGCGTAACACTATCGGATGGATCACGGAATTCGTCTCCTTGTCTCTGATTGAATACAAGATCTTTCGTGCAAGCGGCAGTATTTCAGGTGAGGTCTCTCAACCTGCCCAAGAACATGGGATGGAATCCTTTCTCCTGCGACCCGGGGTCTCCCAAACCTCACGAAACTCGCAAAAAGACTTGACGTACACACTGCGCAACCTCCCACTCTCAGCGCTAGTCACTGTCTCGCGACCTCAGCCTTAGAGCAAGTGCACACAGTAACAATTCTCACTCTTTCGCCGATGATCGCAAAGCGCAAACCACCATTTCGGGCTCAATGAGCGAAACGAGTGACAAAGGACACTTTCGAGATTCCCCTCACTGGTGGGACCGCTCGCTCACTGCTGGAATCTACAGCAGTACGACTGTCACTTCCATTCCACCACACATCACCACAAGTCCACAACCGACACCTTGACATGCCAAATCTCTATTCCAGATTTCGTGGAATTGCGAGACTGCTACAAAAACATGCGCACACCTGTCAACCGACAATTGCTGACATTCTCCACATGATCCGCAAGAAAATCGGTGACCAGGCATTCTGGCGGTGCTCGCATGTGAGAGAGTGAGCCCACCAATCCATCTCGCCCAGCACGGATCCTCCCACTGGAAATAACCAGGAATTCCCGTTTATATAAAAATATGTGAAGAACTCACTAAGCAGCATATCAATAGATCTAAGCAAACAGAAGAAACGTTAACACATGAACATGAAATAGTGTGAATGTTTGGTCAAGCCATTTTGCAGCCTACCTCAGTCCAAACCACGCCAATTATCCAGCACCACAACAATTTTTGCACATACCGAATTACCCCCACAAATCCCACTCACCAGGAAAAGAAGAACAAACCGGTTTTGACAGACAAACGAAGAAAAGAAAGAGAAATACTAACACGTTATCCAGCTCCTCCACAGAATAAGAAGAAAAAAGCACGAGCATGCACCAATTAGGCGGCAACTCTGCCTGCCACTGACCATCTTCCACTAACTACCCCTGCCTCCTGTCCCTGCTGCACAGACTCACACTAATAGACAGCACATCAGCTTTCCAGCCCATCAGCTTTCCATACCCATACCCTCCACCTCTCCTTGCCTGTACCCCATGTAACCTGGCAAGTAACCTGGCAAGTAACCTGGTAAGTAACCTGGTCCTGCCCGTCAATTTTCACCTCCCTGGGCCGCCCACATACACACCAGACACACCTCTGACACACAGCCACTCCACCGCCACAATCCGCCCACATACACACCAGACATCCCTCTGACACACAGCCACTCCACCACCACAATCCGCCCACATACACACCAGACATCCCTCTGACACACAGCCACTCCACCGCCACAATCCTCTCTTCTACTGCACGCCAATGGACGCCATCAGCTTCTCATACTCTGCATCTTCCGCCTCTCCCTGCCCTCCTGCAGGGGCAGGGGCAGCAGGAGGCGGCCCGGCACCCCCGTAACCCAGCCTCCCCCCTGCTGGTAAGATAAACACCCAGGGCAAACACGCCCTCTACTGCACCCCAATCGACGCCATCAGCTTCTCATACTCGGCATCTTCTGCCTCTCCCTGCCCCCCTCCAGCCGCAGGGGGAGCAGCAGGGGGCCTGGCACCCCCGAAACTCAGCCCTCCCGGCTGGTAACCACCCGGTGCAGTCGCAGCCATCAGACACAGACTCAGCACCCCAAGCAGGCTCTACTGCACGCCAATCGACGCCATCAGCTTCTCATACTCTGCATCTTCCGCTTCTCCCTGCCCCCCTCCAGCCGCAGGGGGAGCAGCAGGAGGCCTAGCACCCCCGAAACCCGGCCCTCCCGGCTGGTAACCAGCCGGACCAGGGAACCTGGGCGCCCCCATAGCCCCAGGGAAAGGGGGAGGCGGACCCCCTAGCCCATACCCAGGCGCGCCACCAGGGCCAAAGGGGAAAGGGGGAGCTCCCCCCGGCCCCCTAGGTCCCCCCATCCCCCCCGGTCCCCCCATTCCCCCAGATCCCCAGGCAGGGCGGGGACCACCAGGTCCCCCGAAGCCCTGAGGGGGACCAGGCCCCCACTGGGGGGGAGGTGCGAACTGGTTACCACCAAAACCGCTACCTGGCATAGGGGGGCGGCCGGGCATGTAGGGAGGGGGAGCGCCAGAGGGAGGGGTGAAAGGCGGCTGCCCCGTAGGCGGGCCCCTGGGGGGGCCATAGCCCATGCCTCCCCCCATTGGTCCGCCCATGCTTCCCCCCATCCCTCCCCCCATTGGTCCCCCCATCCCAGGCCCAGTTGCACCCGGCCCTCCTCCTCCTGCCCCTCCTGCTCCTGCTCCCCCTGTTGCTGCTCCTCCTGCTGCAAACCCGCCTACCTGGGGCTGCTGCTGCTGCTGGGGTTGATAAAACCCGCCACCCTGCTGCCCCTGCTGCTGCTGCTGCTGCTGCTGAGGCGCCTGCTGCTGCTGCTGCTGCTGCGGCGGCGGCAGCTGCTGCTGCTGCCACGACGGAGCACCATAGGCGCCCGCAGCAGGGGGCATGGGTGGAGGCGCGGGCTGGTCTGTGGGGGGAGGCGGGGGAGGGGAGTCCCCGCTGCTGGGCGGAGGCGGAGGCGGGGGCGGGGGGGAGCTGGGCTGGGGCGGGGGAGGGAAGGCGGGGGGAGTGGGCGCCGCTGCTCCTGCTTGTGCCATCCCATACTGCTGCTGCTGCTGCTGCTGCTGCTGGGGAGGCTGCTGGGGAGGCTGCTGCTGCGAATACTGCTGACCAGCGGAAGCAGGGGGGGCATAAGCTCCCCCTGGGGCTGGGCCAGGCGCATACCCCTGCCCCTGCGCGGAACCATAACCTTGCCCCTGCGCGGACCCTTGCCCATATCCCTGCCCATACCCCTGCCCCTGCGCGCCCCCATAGCTCTGCCCAGTGGACGGGCCTGAAGGAGGCGCCCCGTATCCCGGACCAGATGGTCCTGGAGGTCCGGAGGGAGGCCCGGAAGGAGGGCCGGACGGAGGGCCGGACGGAGGGCCATACCCGGACGGACCAGATGGCCCGGGAGGCCCGGTAGGAGGTCCGGAAGGTGGTCCGGAGGGAGGCCCGGAAGGAGGTCCGTACCCAGGTGAGGGGCGGGGAGGGCCGTACCCAGACGGGCCAGACGGACCAGGAGGAGGAGCCTGGTACCCAATCCCTGTGCGCTGCCGGGGCGGCATTCCTTGTCCTGTCTGCTGCTGCTGGGGTGGCGGGTAGGAGGAGGGGGCGTCAGTCGGCCCACCATCCATTCTCGGCAGCTTGCTGGCGCGATCATCCCCCCAGGCGGGAGCAGGGTGGCTGGACGGCGGTTGACCCTGTTGACCAGGTTGACCGGGTTGACCTGGCTGCTGATGTGGCGGGGCATACGGCTGCTGCTGCTGCTGCTGCTGCTGCTGCTGCTGCTGCTGATACCCCTGCTGCTGCTGGGGAGGAGGGTACTGCTGCTGCTGCGGCTGCTGTGGGTACTGAGACTGCTGCTGCTGCGGCGGCGGCGGCTGCTGCTGCTGTTGACCGTACACCCCAGGGCCTGGGGCAGGGGGCGCTCCCCCCGGGCCCCCAGGCGGGGGCGCTCCCCCCGCCCCCCCTGCAGGATACCCCCCCACAGGCGGGGGACCTTGCCCCCGGGGGACCATAGGCGGGCCAGGCGTCAAGCTTGGGCGCATGGGCTGCTGACCTGGCATGCCCACGTGGCTGTACGCGCTTCCTCCCTGCTGACCTGGCTGCTGACCTGGCATCCCGGGGGGTCCCTGCCCTGGGGCGAACGGGCGGGGGAAGGACGAGGGCGCGGGGCGGCCGGGGGGAGGTCCGCCCATGCCTGGCGGGGGGTAGGACCCGGGGGGCGGACCCCCTGGGGGACCCCGCCCAGGGGGGTAAGAACTTCCCCCTGGCGCTCCCCCCCCCTCCCCCTGGCCCCCCGCGGTTACCACCATAACCGCTGTCGCTGTAACCGCCGCGATTGTAACCGTCGCCACCCCTGTACCCGTCCCCCCCCCTGTACCCATCACCACCACCCCTGTACCCATCTCCACCCCTCCGATCGGAATAAGAACCGCCCCTGCCGTCCCCCCTGCCGTCCCCCCTGCCATCCCCCCTGCCATCGCCCCTACCATCGCCCCTAACATCTCCTCTACCGTCGCCTCTGCCATCACCCCTGCCGTCTCCCCTTCCGTCCGGCCCGCCACTGCCGGCATTAATCTCGTTGAGGAAGGACTGATACTCCTGGTCCATGCCCTTGCCCTGTGGGAGGAAGGAGAGAGAGATAGGGGAGCATAGGAAAGAGAAACGGGGCGATGTAAGTAGCTGCTATAAGCTCTACCGTCTGGTCCACCTGCACCGGCGTTGATCTCGTTCAGGAAGGACTGATACTCCTGGTCCATGCCCTTGCCCTGTGGGAGGAAGGTGGAGAGCAATAGGGGAGCACAGCGGAGGGGGACGGGGAGAGGGGGAGGGAGATTGGGGAAAACGGAGGGGTGTTACTGCTGTAAGAGCAGAGCCGACTGGTGCCAGCGTTGATTTCGTTAAGGACTGATACTCCTGATCCATGCCCTTGCCCTGTGGGAGGAAGAGAGCGGGGAGGAGAGAAGAAAAGGATAAGTTGATGCTCTGACCGCCCCCTGCCGTCGCCCCTGCTATTGCCTCGCCCATCGCCTCTCCCATCGCCCCTCGTCCGGCCCGCCTGTGTCAGCGTTGATCTCGTGGAGGAAGGATTGATACTCCTGGTCCATGCCCTTGCCCTGTGAGGGGAGGAGCGTCGGGAGGAAAGAAGGGGAGGATACGTTGATGGAGCGTATCTGTAGACGCCCCTTCCGTCCGGCCCGTCTGTGTCAGCGTTGATTTCGTTGAGGAAGGACTGATACTCCTGGTCCATGCCCTTGCCCTGTGGGAGGAAGCAGAAGCAGAGAGAGAGAGGGAAGGGGGATGGAGGAAGAGAATAAGACGAAGGACAACAGTCGAGGAAGGAATGATATTTTAAGTCGATGCTCTGGCCCTGTGGAAGGAGAGGAGAGAGAGAGAGAAAGATACTTAGGAACGAACAAGACCAACAAGCGGAAAAGGCGCTACAAGGAGCCAACGTGAGAAACCAAGGACACAGAGGGGTAGGACGATAGGAGGAGGAGAGTGCTGGGAAGGTAGGGGAAGAAAACGAGGTGGGAGAGCAAGCCAGGCAGGAGAGGAAGAAAACGAGGTGGGAGAGCAAGCCAGGCAGGAGAGGAAGAAAACGAGGTGGGAGGAGAGCAAGCCAGGCAGGAGAGGAAGAAAACGAGGTGGAAGGAGAGCAAGCCAGGCAGGAGAGGAAGAAAACGAGGTGGGAGGAGAGCAAGCCAGGCAGGAGAGGAAGAAAACGAGGTGGGAGGAGAGCAAGCCAGGCAGGAGAGGAAGAAAACGAAGTGGGAGGAGAGCAAGCCGGGCAGGAGAGGAAGAGGGCTGAATATGTTTTTTTTTTAATCTAAAAAAACAGAGGAAAGGGGCGGTAGGCATGCAGAGAGGAGGAAGAGAGGGATGGGCACATACCGGCGGCCCTCCGGCCCTCCTCCTGGGGCAATCAACGGTCGGATGACCTCCATCCCCACAGATGGAGGAGGGAGGAAGAGAGGGGTAGGCAGAGAGGGGAAGGAGGACAGAGAAACATGAGCGGGAGGGAAAGGTGGCGAGACTGGGAGTGGGACGGGCACATACCGGCGGCCCTCCGGCCCTCCTTCTGGGGCAATCAACGGTCGGATGGCCTCCATCTCCACAGATGGCGCACGTGACCTGCGATCACCACCACACCACACATGTGCAAGAACAGGGGCAGACACAGATAGGTTCAGGGTTTAGGGACTTGTTTTGAGGCGCCTCACAAGGAATCAACGGTCGGATGGCCTCCATCTCCGCAGATGGCGCAAGTAACCTGCGATCACAGCCACACATGGGCAACGACAGGGGCAGACACAGGTGGTGGGCGAATTCTCAATACAAGTGTCTACGATGTCGCAGAAGGCACAAGCAGCGTGCAGGACAGCACACGGGCGAAGGTACAGCCAGGGAAAGTCCTTGTTACCGCCTTGCCACACAGGAAGCACACACCTGCTGCTGCTGCTGCTGCTGCTGCTGGTGCTCTTGCTGCCACTGCTCTAGAATTACCACCTAGCCTACCTTTGCTTACAATCTAGATACCGGATCTGGAAAGCACTGACCTTAGCGTTGAACGTCTGCAGCTTCTCCTTGGGGCACTGGAAGTCCTTGTGGCCCGGCTCGCCACACAGGAAGCACACCTGCTGCTGCTGGTGTGCTGCTACCACCTGCCCTACACCTGGTTACCACCGGGTTACCAGCTCTGAATAAGACATACCTTAGCGTTGAAGGTCTGCAGCTTCTCCTTGGGGCACTGGAAGTCCTTGTGACCCGGCTCGCCACACAGGAAGCACGCACACCTGCTGCTGCTGTAGGTACCACTGCTGCTACCACCTGCCCTACACCTGATTACCACCTGGTTACCGCCTGGTTACCACCGGGTTAACAGCTCTGGGAAACACTGACCTTGGCGTTGAAGGTTTGAAGCTTCTCCTTGGGGCACTGGAAGTCCTTGTGACCCGGCTCGCCACACAGGAAGCACGCACACCTGCTGCTGCTGTAGGTGCCACTGCTGCTACCACCTGCCCTACACCTGATTACCACCTGGTTACCGCCTGGTTACCACCGGGTTAACAGCTCTGGGAAACACTAACCTTGGCGTTGAAGGTTTGAAGCTTCTCCTTGGGGAACTGGAAGTCCTTGTGACCCGGCTCGTGGCTCCATTCATAGGGTCACCACATGACCTACCTCTGGTTATACGATCGCCACCTGGTTACCTGGTTACCACCTGGTTACCAGTCATACCTTGGCGTTGAAGGTCTGCAGCTTCTCCTTGGGGCACTGGAAGTCCTTGTGGCACGGCTCGCCGCACAGGAAGCACACCCCTGCTGCTGCTGCCGGTGCCGCTGCTGCTACCACCTGCCCTACACCTGGTTACCAGCTGGTTACCAGCTGTGGTTGCTACTGACCTTGGCGTTGAAGGTTTGAAGCTTCTCCTTGGGGCACTGGAAGTCCTTGTGGCCGGGCTCGTGGTCCCAGTCATAGGGTTACCAGGTTACTCTGGTTACATAATACCCAGCCCTACCTTAGCGTTGAACGTCTGAAGCTTCTCCTTGGGGCACTGGAAGTCCTTGTGGCCCGGCTCGTGGTTGAGCTCATAGGGTTACAACCTGCCCTACCTCTTGCTGCTACCACATGGTTACCACGGGGTTACCAGCTCTTAGTGGGACATACCTTGGCGTTGAACGTCTGAAGTTTCTCTTTGGGGCACTGGAAATCCTTGTGGCCCGGCTCCCCGCACAGGAAGCACACCTGCTGCTGGTGCCGGTGCCACTGCTGCTACCACCTGCTACTACCACCTGTCTTACACCTGGTTACCAGCTTTGGTACCTGCGCTGGTTGGCACTGACCTTGGCGTTGAAGGTTTGCAGCTTCTCCTTGGGGCACTGGAAGTCCTTGTGGCCGGGCTCGCCGCACAGGAAGCACACCTGCTGCACGTCCTTCATCGTTCCGTTCATCAGCGCGAGCTCTCTCAGCTGCTTGCGCCTGTGGATATTGCGCCACTCCTGGTCGTATGAGAGAAGAGAGAGACAAGAAGAAGAGCATGCACAGTTGACCAATTAGACAATAGTTGCACGTCCTTCACTGTTCTGATCATCATCAGCGCGAATTCCCCTGCTGCTTGCTCCTGTGGAAATTGCGCCACTCCTGCTTATAAGAGACGGGAAGAGAGCAAGGAGAGGAGGCTACCAGGTGGCACACAGTAACCAAGTGTGCGTGTTGCAATGCAACCAATGCACGGCTCCTGTTACTCACATCGATGGGGGTGAGCAGAGGCTCGATCATGTCAACAGCAGCATCCACCTTCTCCAGCTTATCAGCACAAATGTACACGTGTAGCTCCTCGCTCGCTTTACCCAGCCAGTTACACGCACTCAACTACCTGGTAACCCGCCCGTTACTCACATCAATGGGAGTCAGAAGCGGCTCCATCATATGCACAGCAGCATCCAGCTTCTCCAGCTTGTCACCGCAGATGTACACGTGCAGATCCTCACTCCCTCTACCCAGCCAGTTACACGCACTCAACCACCTGGTAACCCGCCTGTTACTCACATCGATAGGGGTCAAGAGAGGTTCGATCATGTCAACAGCAGCATCCACCTTCTCCAGCTTGTCACCACAGATGTAGACATGCAGGTCCTCGCTCGCTCCCTCCTGGTACTTGTCCTTCTGCTCAATCAAAGAAAGGCAAATAGCGCAAAGAAAGGAAGGTTCAGCAGTGCAGATGTACACATGCAGGTCCTCGCTCGCTCCCTCCTGGTACTTGTCCTTCTGCTTGATACACATGAGGGAAGAGAGAGAAGACGTTAGAAAGGCAAGGAAGTGAGTGAGGGATGCACAGCGTAGATGTACAAATGTAGGTCCTCGCTCGCCCCTCGCTCGCCCCCTCCTGGTACTATTTTTGAGTCGACTCAAAAAAAGATGTACACATGCAGGTCCTCCCTCGCTCCCTCCTGGTACTAGTCCTTCTGCAGGGGTGGGGAAACGGAGTGAAACGAGCGAGGACATTGGGAAAAGGGGGAAAAAAAAAAGCGAGGGAGGAATGGGCAGCGAGACTGTGCACATGCATTCTGCTTGATAATACCGAGAGGCAGCGGGAGTAGAGCAAGGGACAAAAACAAGGGAGAGAAAGGTGTGCAGTGCAGATGTACGCGCGCCAGGTGCACGCTCGCTCTCTACTGGATCTCGTTCAACAGCGACTAGACAAAATGGACGATAGAGACGAGCGACGCACAGCCGCCTTCTGGAGACGCCTCAAAAGCTGCACGCTCGCCCACACCTGGCACGGTGTTAAAAAACGAGTAGAAGAACTGATAGGGCGATAGGTTGATAGGGTACAGACGAGAGACGAGCAGCGCTTACCTTTCCTTCTTTCGTTGCGCCTTTCCCTCGGATAACGATGCGAGCACCAGTTTCCTGCAACCAGGGCAGCAGACGCAAGATAATATTATACGTAAGCCAGAAAACAAGACGACATATGCATGGGGAACGGAAAGAAAAGAAGGCAACAAGTTCCTTTCAAATAGTATCCGAATCACAATTAGACAATTGAAAAAAAATGTTGCAGGTAGCTTCTAGGGGCGTTTCTTTATTTTAGCCTATATAATTGCAGCCCTGATTTGCTTGACCAGCTCGTGATCTCAAAATACGCTTATAAGTTTGTCAAAAGCATGTATAACTCACCTGTTCCATCAGCTTTTGAGTGTTGCCGCGCGGGCCTATAATGAGGCCGATGAAGTTGTGGCCCGGGTATTGCTTGACCTACTACTAGTGATGGTAACATACACCTTATAAGCCACCTCGACAGCATTTACAAGAGCTCACCTGTTCCATCCGCTTCTGCGTGTTGCCGCGCGGGCCTATAATGAGGCCGATGAAGTTGTAGCCCGGGTATTGCTTGACCTGCTCGTGATTGTATGGAGGGCGGCGGTAGTGCGCACACACGTGTGTGATAGGGACGTACGACGGACGGACGAATGCCGGACAGGGGAAGAAGGGCAGGAGAGTGCGTGGAAGGCGGGAGGGCGGAAGAAGGGAGCGCGGAGGAGGAAGGGCGAGAAGGAGAGGGAGAGGAGAAATGCAGGGAGAGGGAGAGAGGGCGAGAAAGGGAGCAGGAGAAAAATAGGCGGGGAGGGAGAAGAAAAAAGGGAAAAGGGGAGGGAAAGAGGGAAGGCGGGCGGGAGACGCAGAGCGTGCGAGAAGGGGAGACGAGAAAACACAGCAGAGAAAAAACCAACACGTCAGGAACTTCTGATCAAAAGAGCAATAATGACAAGGGAGGGGGGAATCAACAATATCGAGTCGAGTATGTGGTGTGGTGTAGGCCAGGGAAATTACCACGCCTTTATGGACAACTGTACGCGTTAAAGGATGTCATCAACCGCCACTGGCAAAACACTTGCGAAGCAAAGCAGGCTAACGCATGACACGGGGAAGTACAGAAGGATTGTTTGGAAATGTGAAAATTAGGTTTTCTCTGGCTCAGACTTAAAGGGCTGAAGTTGCAATACTACCGACTCTCATTCTAACGCGTACACACCAATTGCGAACCTGAAATCTTATTTCTAAATTTGCGCTGTAGAGACAGAAGTCGGACCAGGCTGCACTAGGAAACCCGTACTCGACAGAAACGTATCCAGCAAAACCCACGGGGTACTGGAAATACAAAACAGTAGGAGCTTCGCGGAAAAGCTTGCTTCCAATAAATGCAATTTCGCGAACTTCGCTAATGCGACTTACCGGCACGAAGAGCTTCGCCTCCTCCAACACAGGCTTGTACCCCGCAGGCGGCTTGAAGTGCGGGTTAAGATTGATACACTCGGCTGTACAAAAATAATTGGAAAAAAAGGAGAAAAAAAAAACAAACAAACAAACAGCATGAACAACCGAACAGAGTTATTAAGCTTCAGAGTTGTACTGAAACCACCGAATTTCGATGCAATAGTGGGAAAACGAAGGGAAACAGGAAAAGGTCGAGCATGCCAATCTAAAAGGCCATACCTATTGCTTTGCGTTTTTCAATGTCAAGCTGGTCGCGCTTTCTTTGCTGCAAAGAGGAAACCGAACAAGGTACAAGAGAAACAAGGCAAAACATCAGAATAGGCGAATTTAGGGCAGACGAGTCTAAAAATCTTCAGCCTAATAAATCGCACAATTAATGCTAACGGAAACCCCGGACGACCGAAAAGCGGGGATCATGAATGGAAAGGAATACTGGAAATAAGCCGGTGGAGTTGCTAATATCGATAACAGTGTACGTCGCGGTGTGATTTCCAGGCCCAGGTTGTCGTAGACGAACGATTTATTAAAACAATCAACATAAAAAAAACATTATGATGAAGAATTAACTCGGTGCTGACAGACAGATAAAGGCAGTAACGTACGTCGCGGGTGTTAAGGCGCTGTCCCATGTTGTCGTAGATCGGCGGCGGAGACGGCGAGCGCGTGGCTTCGTTCTCGTCGATCTCTAGCGTGTTCAGCTCCAGCTGCGACGAGATCTGCTCGATTCGTGTCTGCAGAAGAAAAATAAAATCATAAGGAAACATTATATTCCGAGATTTTAAGATGAAAAGCAAGAGAGACAATGATATTGCCAAAAGAAGGAAATAAAAAGACCGTGCCGTAAAAAACCGTCGAGAGAAACATAGACTTGCTGCTCGCACGCAGATCGGCCCGAGATCTTATAAAAACACAAAAGCATAAAAGAACAAGTTATATAACTTCCAAGTCAGCTCAGAACTCCGGTATCCCTTCCTAGGCTTCAAACGTCTTCAATCTTTACTAGAATCTTTCTAGGATCACACGCCAACGGCGTACCTGAATGGCCAGCGCGCGACCCCTGCGCGTCGCGGGATCCAGAAGCGGATCTGGACCCCACCGGTACTTCCGAGGGCGCCTCGGCTTATCATCCTCCGCCTCCTCACCAGCTTTCGTAACGCTTCCCCCGACCGGCACGATCGCCAACGATTGCCCTGGGATAGAGATTTTGTTCTTGGGAATGACGAAAGACGGCGTTTTAACCGGCTCCGGATTGGCTACGGACGACGCGGCGGCAGCGGCTTGCTCCTCGGACTGGCCGGAAGCGCGCGCCGCCATAAAGGCGGCGGCGACTCGCTTCGCCGCTTCTGCCGCCTCCGCGATGTTCACCACGGAAGGCATCTTGGCGAGACTCGAGGTCCCTCTCCCAGACACAAAGATCGGGCCCCTAAGGGCGTGCGAAGGCCGGAAACGTGAGCGAAACGTTTCTTAGCAAGCAACAGGAAATACGCCCTGTGCTAAGAAAGTAGAGAACCGTGAAGCTAAGAAGACTAGGAACCGCGGACTTTCCGGATCTAACGGACAACTTCAGACCTCAACACAGATAAGGGGAGGAAGAAACCTCGGTTTGGTTTTGAAGAGGTGCTGGCTAGGGTTTGGTTTGCTGTAGCTTCGGAAGGAGGAAATTCGTTTTCCAGTGGAACACCTACACCACACGATACACCTAAAGGCTGATATGTTTGTGAAAGATATAATGAAGGGACTACATTAACCGGATTCCACGTTCTGCCACATCTATAAAGAGGATCGGGTTTGTCTGTTGCTATGTGCGGTTGCGTTCGATTCCTACGATTTCAACCATTTGGCGCGTAACCGCTTTTGAACGCATCACACCGATGAAAGCGGTGATACTCGTTTTGTAGAAAGATGCAGACTCCTGCGCCACCTGATGTCGGCAGAATCTGGGACCAGACCAGATGAAGGCGCCAATCTGGCCTCGAATCTAGATGTGACTGTGAGTCGTCGCTACGCTAGCGATCCACCGTCGATATCCGCCGCTGCTTTCGGCCGGCAAATGCCACCCTGCTTCGTTTCCGCGCAATTGTCGACTCACGCATTGGACTTCCAAGCAGGCGTTTTATAAGGCGTTATCGAGGCAATGGCTAGCTGTGTCGGCACTACCCAGATGCGATCTGTCGCCAATGTGTTCGCGAATGGCATGGCTGGTAACGGCTCTCGCGCGCTTTGTCTACCTTTTAGTCCCAAACCGGCGCGCGGCGTAAGATCCGCTGACATGGCGGGTCTTCTCGTCCAAAGCTCCCTACGAGGTTTTCTGGAACCCGCGCGACTTTCCTCGCCGCAATTTGGGTCTAGAAAGTCAATGCGAGTCGTGGCGAGTCGACCGAGTTCAACATCCTGTCGCGTCGCGATAGCGGAGGCGGGGGAAGGGAGCGGGAAAGAGGCGGGGAGGGAGGTGGAGAAGGAGGAACGAACAGCGGGGAGATTGAGAGTCGCCGTGATATGCGGAGGGCCGTCTGAGGAGCGCGGGATTTCGCTTAACTCGGCGCGGTCCGTGGTGGATCACCTCGAGGCGCGTGACGTGGAGATTAAGACGTACTATGTAGACCCGTTCCAGAGGGTCTTCGCCATTCCGACCACCCAGGTACTACTTCTAATTATGACGTACTGCGTAGACCCGTTCCTGATAGTGTTCGCCATTCCGACCACCCACCCAGGTAATTACTCGCTTAGGAATTCTAAAGCGGGTGGCTGGAACATTGAGATTAAGACTTACCATGTAGACCCGCCGCGTTCCCTTTCCTCACCGAGGGCCTTTGCCACGCCCCTCCTGACCTTCAGATGTCGCCCCTCCCATCCCAACACTGCTGCTACAATGTTGGAATTGGTGCTGACCTTCAGAATCTGTTGCAACAATTCTGACCGCTCTCCACCCCTTCCCCATCCTCTGCTTCCGTTTCCCTTTCAGATGTATTCCAACACGCCTGCCGATTTCGACTTCAAGCTTCGCAGGTATGACCCTTCAGAAGGTTCACAGAAGTTTCGTGGCCACCTCCTTTTGAAGGAGGCGTGCGGACACCTCATTCCTTTCTGGAAGCTGCAAGGAAACTTCCGTTTCCTTCCGCCCCCCTTAGGATCTGCAGTTTACACAAGCAGCTACCAACTGTCTTTTCCCCTCTCACTCGCCGCCCAATTCCTTTTCCTCTCTCTTCCTTCCCTCCCCTCCTGGCAGCAAGGCATCGCCCTTCCCCTCCCTGCCTGCATTCGCGGCGCACCTGTCACACGAAGTTGACATTATGCTCCTGGCTACTCCTGCTGTTTACACCTCCATATTCCTACCCCTCCCCTCCCCCCCTGTCTTTCACCCCTGGCAGCATGGCATCGCCCTTCCCCTCCCTGCCTGCCTTTGCTGCGCACCTGTCACATGCAGTTGACATTGTGTTTCCGGTCATCCATGGGAAATTCGGGGAGGACGGGGGCATACAGGTGAGGATGGGGGCATACAGGTGAGGATGGGGGCATACAGGTGAGGATGGGGCATACAGGTGAGGATGGGGGCATACAGGTGAGGATGGGGGCATACAGGTGAGGATGGGGGCATACAGGTGAGGATGGGGGCATGCAGGTGAGGATGGGGGCATGCAGGTGAGGATGGGGGCATGCAGGTGAGGATGGGGGCATACAGGTGAGGATGGGGCATACAGGTGAGGATGGGGGCATACAGGTGAGGATGGGGGCATACAGGTGAGGATGGGGGCATACAGGTGAGGATGGGGGCATGCAGGTGAGGATGGGGGCATACAGGTGAGGATGGGGGCATACGGGTGAGGATGGGGGCATACAGGTGAGGATGGGGGCATACAGGTGAGGGAGCTTCTGTCAGTTATCGCTATGTAACCACGATCACGCCACATCTGTCACACGCAGTTGACATTGTGTTTCCGGTTATCCACGGGAAATTTGGAGAGGATGGGGGCATACAAGTGAGGAAGGGAGAAGAACACGGGTGGGGGATGAAGGAGCGAGAGAGAGGGTAAGCATTCGCAGCGCACCTGTCACATGCAGTTGACATTGTGTTTCCGGTCATCCACGGGAAATTTGGAGAGAATGGGGGCATACAGGTGAGGAAGCCTAGAGGGGAGGGGAGGTAAGAGTTTGTGGTGAGAGGGACGAGAGGTGGGAGGGAGAGTGGCATTAGTAAGCAGGGGCAGTTGACATTGTGTTCCCGGTCATCCAGGGGAAATTCGGGGAGGATGGGGGCATACAGGTGAGGCACTAGTAAAGGGGGCAGATGCCGCACATCTGCCTGCATTCGCAACACACCTGTCACACGCAGTTGACATTGTTGACACACAGCCGGCATACAGGTGAGGCACTAGTAAAGGGGGCAGATGCCGCACATCTGCCTGCATTCGCAACACACCTGTCACACGCAGTTGACATTGTTGACACACAGCCGGCATACAGGTGAGGCACTAGTAAAGGGGGCAGATGCTGCACATCTGCCTGCATTCGCAACACACCTGTCACACGCAGTTGACATTGTTGACACACAGCCGGCATACAGGTGAGGCACTAGTAAAGGGGGCAGATGCCGCACATCTGCCTGCATTCGCAACACACCTGTCACACGCAGTTGACATTGTTGACACACAGCCTGCATACAGGTGAGGCACTAGTAAAGGGAGCAGATGCCGCACATCTGCCTGCATTCGCATGCATCTGACTGTCATTATGTTCATTGTGACTAACATCCGATTATCCATGGGAAGTTGGCTTGGAGGGGTCCATACAAGTGGACGAAGTGAGGGAGCAATGTATTGGATCCATCTCCTCTTCAGTGTGATGAGAAAACTTTTGAGTCGCCTCAGAAGTCACCAGGAGGACGAAGTGAGGGAGCAATGTATTGAATTGAATCCATCTCCTCTTCACAATACAGCCCTGAAACCGTGCAGCAGCACAGTATTCCCTTTGCTTCTCCGATCTTATAGTCCCTGATTAAAAAACACCTGTTTGCTTCTCCCTCTTTTGAGAATTCTCAAAAACACCCCACAGTATTACCTTTGCTTCTCCCTCTTTTGAGAATTCTCAAAAACACCCCACAGTATTCACTTTGCTTCTCCGCTCTTATAGTCCCTGATGCTGCAGGGTGGTTTTGAGAATTCTCAAAAGTCACCTCAAAAACACCCCACAGTATTCACTTTTCTTCTCCGCTCTTATAGTCCCCTTTCCCGCCTGTACTCTCTTCCATCTCCTGCTCCTCCCCCCCCCTTCCCCTTCCCCTTTTCTCCCCTCCTGTCGTCAGGCCCTCCTGGAGCAGCATGGCATTCCCTTTGTCGGCACCTCAGCTGCTGCTGCCCGCAATGCCTTTGACAAGGTGGGTGGGCGGGTGGGTGCGTGGGAGGGTGGGTGGGGGTTGGTGAGTGAGGGAGCTCGTGGAGTGGCTAATGTCTCACGGATACAGCAGCAGCAAGGCATTCCCTTTGTCGGCACCTCAGCTGCTGCTGCCCGCAATGCATTTGACAAGGTGGGTAGGCGGATGGGTGGGTAAGTGAGTTGGTGGGTGGGCGGGCGGGTGGGCGACAGGTGGGTGGGAGGGCGGTACACGTGTGCACAGCACATGAACCGTTGTGGCTTTTTGAGACGTCTCAAATCTCTCCTCCTCTTGAGACGTCTCAAAAACACCCTTTTTACACGTGGGTGGGAGGGTGGTACGCGTGTGCACAGCACATGAACGGTTGTGGCTTTTTGAGACGTCTCAAATCTCTCCTCCTCTTGAGACGTCTCAAAAATACCCTTTTTGCACGTGGGTGGGAGGGTGGTACGCGTGTGCACAGCACATGAACGGTTGTGGCTTTTTGAGACGTCTCAAAAATACCCGTTGTGGCTTATCGGCACATGAACGGTTGTGGCTTTTTGCACGTGGGTGGGAGGGCGGTACGCATGTGCACAGCACATGAACGGTTGTGGCTTTTTGAGACGTCTCAAATCTCTCCTCCTCTTGAGACGTCTCAAAAACACCCTTTTTACACGTGGGTGGGAGGGTGGTACGCGTGTGCACAGCACATGAACGGTTGTGGCTTTTTGAGACGTCTCAAAAATACCCGTTGTGGCTTATCGGCACGTGAAGGGTTGTGGCTTTTTGCACGTGGGTGGGAGGGCGGTACGCGTGTGCACAGCACATGAACCGTTGTGGCGTTTCCAACCCTCCACCTGTGTCTGCCTGTATGCGTGTCTTTGGGTTGGGTTGGGACGCCTCAAATCCCTCCTTGTCTCCTTTCCCTCTGTCTCCTGTTTTGACTAACAGTACGCATGTGCACAGCACATGAAGCGCTGCGGCTTCCCCACGCTCCCGTCGTTTCTCATCCAGGTTTGCCACTTAACTAGAAGCCACTCCTTAGGTAAGTACACGCCCTCAATCAGGCAGCTGTAAGGTCATGTTCTGAGGGGTCACACATTTGCCACTTATGTAAGTAAGAAGTGCTATCTCTCAGTGACCGCACTTTTAGTATTGCTTCCACCCCTCCTTCCTGTTTCTGTATCTTCACTTGCACTTTACTTCAAAGAGGCGGCTCAGTAAAACCATGGTCTCAGTATCGTTTTGAGGCGACTCAAAACATGCATTTGAGGGTGTGGCTCTGTGTGGATTCAGGCTGGTGTGAACGACAACAACGGTGACGTGGCGCTTGCTGATTGGTTCACCTCCAACGGACTCTCACCAGACAGCAGCTCTGTTGTGGTATGCCTCTCCCCATTCCATCGCTCTTTGATTTCCTGTGGCATTTTCGAGACACCTAACAAGGGGACGATATGTTGTGGTATGCCTCTCCCCATTCTATCGCTCTTTGTATCCTCTTGAGGTGCCTCAAAAGTCCTCTCCCCCTTCCATCGCTCTTTGTATTCTCTGTACCGCTTTCCATTCCGTCTCTCTTTGTTTTCTCTGTACCGTTTTCTTGCTCAGCAGCTTATGATGTTTTCTTGCTCATGATTTTGTCCCGTACTCTACTACCAATGCTAAGTACTTACTTACAAGCTCCGCTGATGTGATTCCGGGGTGCATTGCTTACTTACTTACTTGCAGGTGAAGCCAGCTCGAGCCGGGTCGAGCGTCGGTGCCTCTGTGTGTCTCCGCGAGTGCAGGCAGGAGGGGTTTTAAGAATTCTCAAAAACCCTCCCCTCCTCCTTCCCCCCCTCCCTCCCCCCCCCCCCCCCACCTCCCCCGGCGCGGTGCGTTGCTTGCAGGTGAAGCCAGCTCGAGCCGGGTCGAGCGTCGGTGCCTCTGTGTGTCTCCGCGAGTGCAGGAAGGAGGGGTGCCTCTGTGTGTCTCCGCGAGTGCAGGAAGGAGGGGTGCCTCTGTGTGTTTCGGAGTGTTTTGAGTCACTGAGAATTCTCATAATCGGCACAAGAGTCGCCTCCACGGTCCACCTCTCTGGCCCCGTTTCTCCCGACTCCCGGTGCTGTGCATTGGTTGATTGCATTGCATGGCAGGTGAAGCCAGCTCATGCGGGGTCGAGTGTTGGTGTCTCTGTGTGTCTCCGCGAGTGCAGGCAGGAGGGGTGCGAGAATTATCAACCCCCCCCCCCCCCCCCCCCCCCCCCCCCCCTCCCTCCCCCTTTCCGGCGCGGGGCATTGCTTTGCAGGTGAAGCCAGCTCGAGCCGGGTCGAGCGTCGGTGTCTCTGTGTGTTCCGGTGCGAAGGAAGCTTCCCAGAAGGCTCGGGAACTGATATCTGAGGTCAGTTGGTTGGTTGGTTGGTTGGTTGGTTGGTTGGTTCGTTTGAGTGCCTTTTTGGATTCGTGCGATCTAAGGCTTTTGATACGACTTGTAATTTCATATTTGTGAAGGCTCGACCATTTTTCGCTTTTCAGGGGAAGTTGCTTTCTTCTCCCTTCCCCTCTCCCCTACCCCCTGTGTGCCCCTACCCACCCCAGGGTGTGGACGAGCGGGTGGTGGTAGAGGTGTTTGCAGCAGGGGGCAAGGAGTTTACAGCCATTGTGCTGCACTCAACCCCATGCCCTGTCCCTGTGTCCCTTGTCCCATGCCCTTGTCCCCATGCTACCCACCCCAGGGTGTGGACGATCGGGTGGTGGTAGAAGTGTTTGCAGCAGGGGGCAAGGAGTTTACCGCCATTGTGCTGCTCTCAACCCCCTGCCTCTCCCTCCTCTCCCTAATCTTCCTCCTTTCCCCTCTCGCCTGCACCCACCCCAGGGTGTGGACGAGCGGGTGGTGGTGAAGGTGTTTGCAGCAGGGGGCAAGGAGTTCACAGCCATAGTGCTGCACTCACCGTCCCCTCCTCTCCCTCCTCTCCCTCCTCTCCCTCCTCTCCCTCCTCTCCCCTTCCCCATGCCCATTTCCCCCTGCTTCCTCCTATCCCTTCTCCCCTACCCCTTCTGTGCCCCAACCCACCCAAGGGTGTGGACGATCGAGTGGTGGTAGAGGTGTTTGCAGCAGGGGGCAAGGAATTTACCGCCATTGTGCTGGAGGCAGAAGCAGCAGCAGATGGGGCTGGGGGTGAGGATGGGAGCGACGGCACCCGGCGGCGCGCAGTGTGCCTGATTCCCACGCAGGTGAGTGCATGCAGAGTTACCATTGCCGTGCAGCAGGGGGCAAGGAATTTACCGCCATTGTGATGGAATCAGCAGCAGCAGCTGGGAATGGGACCCGCGGTGCAGTGTGCCTGATCCCCACGCAGGTGAGTTCATGCAGTGTTACCATTGCGGTGCAGCAGGGGGCAAGGAGTTCACTGCCATTGTGCTGGAGCGATCCCCAGCATTAGCAGCTGGGGGTGACGATGGGAGCGACGGCACTCGGCGGCGCGCAGTGTGCCTGATCCCCACGCAGGTGAGTGACAATTACATTGCTGCAGTGCAGGGTCTAAAGGAGAAGAGATACATTTCAAAACTCGACTCCTCGCAGCAGGGTCCAAGGCGCTCACCGCCATTGTCTTGCAGGCAGCTGCAGCAGAGCAGCAGGTGGGGGTCAGGTGGAGTTGACAGGCTTTGCTGCTTCCCAAAGCACCTCGCCTCTTGCTGGTGTTCATGCCACGGCAGCAGCTGTAGCACAAGAATAGTCTCGCCCTCCCCCCTTTTCTCCCCCTGTCCTATGTCTTTCAACACACCAGGTGGAGCTCACAGGCTTCGCCGCCTCTCAAAGCACCTCGGCTGTTGCCGGTGCTGCTCCTGCCACGGCAGCAGCAGAAGAATCTGAAGGTGCTGATTCCGACAGTGACGGCAGTGGAGATATCTTCTCTCACCTTCCTCCCTTGTCTTGCCACGCCCCACACCAGGTGGAGTTGACAGGCTTTGCTGCTGCTCCTGCCACCACAGCAGCAGCAGAATCTGACGGCGCTGATTCTGACAGTGACTGCAGTGGAGATATCTTCGACTATCGACGGAAATACCTTCCCACGCAGCAGGTAATGTTCCAGTTGCTCCGTTTCGTCTCCCACATCCCCCCTCAGTCACGCGCCTCAGCCACTCGCCACTCAGGTGTTGCTGGTGCTGCTCCTGGCACATCAGCAGCAGCATCTGAAGGTGCTGAATCTGACAGTGACTGCAGTGGAGATATCTTCGACTATCGACGGAAATACCTTCCCACGCAGCAGGTAATGTTCCAGTTGCTCCGTTTCGTCTCCCACATCCCCCCTCAGTCACGCGCCTCAGCCACTCGCCACTCAGGTGTTGCTGGTGCTGCTCCTGGCACATCAGCAGCAGCATCTGAAGGTGCTGATTCTGACAGTGACAGCGGTGGGGATATCTTCGACTATCGACGGAAATACCTTCCCACACAGCAGGTAATGTTCGAGTTGCCCTTCCTTATCTTGTCACTCACACTTCCTCTTTGCCTCTAATGCACTTCCTTTCTTCTCCATTCCCTCTCCACCCTCTCTCTCACGCCTCCTACAGGTTCTCTACTCCACGCCGCCTCGCTTCCCCCCCGCCATCCTCTCCTCCCTCCGCGCCTCAGCCACTCGCCTCTTCTCCTCCCTCTCCCTCCGAGACTGCGCTAGGCTGGACGGATGGTTCCTCCCTCCTTCCTCCCCGGCTTACTCCCGCGTGCTGTCTGGGCTAAGAGCTAGTAGCAAGTTAAGAGGTGGCGGAAAGGAGGTCAACGAGGGGGGGGATAAAGAGGCGGCTTATAACGAGGACAGCAAGCAGGGGGAGGGGGAGTGGGAGGAGGAGTATAAGGAGGGGATTGTGGTGTTCTCGGATGTGAATATCGTCAGCGGCATGGAGCAGACTTCGTTTCTCTTCCAGCAGGCTGCACTGGTGAGTGGTACTTTTATCTAACAAGCAGCCTCACTCCTCTCTCAGGAGTATAAGGAGGGGATAGTGGTGTGCTCGGATGTGGCATGGAGCAGACGTCACAGTTCCAGGACAGTGGGCAGTGGGAGGAGTGGGAGGAGGAGTATAAGGAGGGGATAGTAGTGTTCTCAGATGCGAATATTGTTAGCGGAATGGAGCAGAATTCCTTTCTCTTCCAGCAGGCTGCGTTGGTGAGTGGTACTTTTATCTAACAAGCAGCCTCACTCCTCTCTCAGGAGTATAAGGAGGGGATAGTGGTGTGCTCGGATGTGGCATGGAGCAGACGTCACAGTTCCAGGACAGTGGGCAGTGGGAGGAGTGGGAGGAGGAGTATAAGGAGGGGATAGTGGTGTTCTCGGATGTCAATATTGTTAGCGGGATGGAGCAGACTTCGTTCCTTTTCCAGCAGGCTGCATTGGTGAGTGTTCCTTCCTCACTCAGTACCATAAGTCATATGCTATTAACGAGTATAATGTTCTTAGACTGTATACTGTTACTGCCGCCCCCGGGGGCATGGAACAGGCCTTATTCCTTCTTTCACCTGCTTCCCCTCTTCCTCCTCTTGCCTCTCCTGCCCTCTCTTGAGTCGACTCATAAGTGCCCTCTCTCCTTGCAAATCTGCCTCTCCCACACTCCTTGATCCTCAGGTGGGTCCTCTCATCAGCCTGCTCCAGAAGCAACCTTCCCCTCCCCATTGTGGTCCGAGTCAACTCAAACCACACTCGTCCCTCTCTTGCCTCTCCTTCCCTCGCTCCCCACAGGTGGGCCTCTCCCACTCGCTGATCTTGAGGTGGATCCTCGCATCAGCCTGCTCCAGATACGACCTTCCCCTCCCTCTCCACCCCCCTCCGGCCTCTCCTGGCGTCAAGAGAATGCTCAAAAGTGACTCAAGTATAACGGGAGAGGAGGGAGGTGGAGGGGAGGCAGGTGTGTCTGGAGGGAGGCGGCAGCTGGTGTGGGTGCTATTCGGGGGAAGCACAGCCGAGCGCCAGGTGTCTCTTATCAGCGGCACCAACGTGTGGCTCAAGCTGAGGGCGTGCCCGCAGGTGTGTGTGTTTGTCTGTGTGTGTCTCTGTGTGTTGTGCCCTGCTGTGTGTGGCTCAACTGGAGGGAGGCAGCAGCTGGTGTGGGTGTTATTTGGGGGCAGCACAGCGGAGCGCCAGGTGTCTCTGATCAGCGGAACCAACGTGTGGCTCAAGCTCAGGGCGTGCCCGCAGGTGTGTTTGCCGTGCTGTCCTCCTCTCCCATAGCCCACAGTCCATAGCCCATAGCCCTCAGCCCCTGCGTACAGAGAGCACAGCGGAGCGCCAGGTGTCTCTGATTAGCGGCACCAACGTGTGGCTCAAGCTCAGGGCGTGCCCGCAGGTGTTCTTGTCTCTGTGTGTGCGCGCTGGTGTGCTGTGCTGTTCTGTTCTGCATGCCCTCTCCCATAGCCCATCCCCCCTCTCCCATAGCCCATCCCCCCTCTCCCATAGCCCATCCCCCCTCTCCCATAGCCCATCACCCCTCTCCCATAGCCCATCACCCCTCTCCCATAGCCCATCCCCCCTCTCCCATAGCCCATCCCCCTCTCCCATAGCCATCCCCCCTCTCCCATAGCCCATCACCCCTCTCCCAGAGCCCATCAACCCCCCTCTCCCATAGCCCATCACCCCTCTCCCATAGCCCATCACCCCTCTCCCATAGCCCATCCCCCCTCTCCCATAGCCCATCACCCCTCTCCCATAGCCCATCCCCCCTCTCTCCAATAGCCCATGCATCCCCTCTCCCATACCCATCCCCCCTCTCCCATAGCCCATCACCCCTCTCCCATAGCCCATCACCCCTCTCCCATAGCCCATCACCCCCTCTCCCATTGCCCATCACCCCTCTCCCATAGCCCGTTTTCCTCTCGCTGCCTCCCTTCTCCCCACCCCTTCTCCCCCACCCCTTCTCCCCACCCCTTCTCCCCACCCCTTCTCCCCACCCCTTCTTCCCACCCCTTCTTCCCACCCCTTCTTCCCACCCCTTCTTCCCACCCCTTCTTCCCACCCCTTCTTCCCACCCCTTCTTCCCACACCCTTCTTCCCACCCCTTCTTCCCACCCCTTCCTTCCGCACCCCTTCTCCCACCCCTTCTCCCCACCCCTTCTTCCCACCCCTTCTCCACCCCTTCTTCCCACCCCTTCTTCCCACCCCTTCTTCCCACCCCT